AAAGAAAGTCAACACATCCCTTTATAGGGGACAAACATAGACGTTTTGCAAATTTTAGTGCACAATTTCTGTTTAGTTGCTGAGTTTAACATATTGGGAAAAAAAACTATTGTCCTATTGTCCTATTGTCTTTGTCTTTGCTGATTGTATTTGGGGTTAAGGGGAAAACTGTGTATATTTCTTCCAAACTATCACTTTAATCAAGTCACTAAACATACATGCTGCTATTATAAGTGAGGGGTGGCCGAACATCCTTATGTGAGTTTTGGTATTATTACTATGAGGACATCTGCTTCTTACAAGTATAGCCCCCCCCCCACACACACACACACTTCCACCCTCAGCTGTAGGTGAAGGACATTAGACAATAAGTGAGCTCACTGTGCCTGATATAGCGCTCAGCTGTTTCAGAGTCCAGAGGAAGTATGTCTGTGCGTCTTCCTCCGTTTACACTTAAAACTCCTGTTCCGTTCGGTCTAGCTCAGAGCTCTCAGTGGGTCTCTTCTGTTACTTGTTGAGAAGATTGCTTGGGTATTTCCCTGTAACTCTTAAGTGCTCTCTCTTACATAGATCAAACACACACAGATACACTCCACATGCTGCACACACCGAGACTCTCAGGCTCCTTACTACTGAACACAGGCATATCAGTAAGTTGTCATTTGTGTTTGTGTGCCTGTATATACAGTAGTGTGCAAAAGTCAGAGATCGCCCTTCATTTGTTTAATTTCCAATCAAAACAGATGTTAAATACAAGTTATTAATTTTTCACTGCCAGGAAATAAGCAAAAAAACATTTGTGTATTACACAGAATCCTCAACACATAAATACAGTCATATGCAAAAGTGTGAACATTCCTGGTCGAAATGCATGTTTTGTTAATTAAAGTAAAAATAAAAGTGCATCCTTTACATGGAGCAAACCTTGTTTAGTTAACAGATTAGAAAAACAGTAAAACATAAAGTATTGCCATCATTTTTGTGCATTTTTCCCCAAGATATTAAATTGACCTGATAACCAGTACTTGTGCATTACACTGTGAAGAAGTGGGTTCTTTGTAGAGGATGTGTTAACTTGGGCCCAAATCCATTTCTTTTTTTTACCCATGCCCCTTGTTTTCGACTGTCACCTTGCCCCTTGGAACTGAGTTACAAGGGGTAGTGGTTGAAATCTTCCCCACAAAATGGGATGATCATCAAATGGACCATTTAAGGTGGAACAGGAAATTTAGCTGCTGAGACATCAGCATACTACTAGCAATTTGTTATGCTTGTTATGAAGAAAAGGAGCATAATACATTAAAACGACATTAAACTAATGTAAAACAATAGTTATCGTAAATACTAACAGAGAAAATACTCACATTTGTGGGTTTCTTTGGTCGCTTGCACAGCCATCTTGCCGGTGTTTTTTTTTTTCTCATCAAACTCAGTCTGGAGTATGCTTCTGAAAAACCTGCATTTGGAGGGCCATGTAGCTCTAACATGTCATTCTACCCCTCTGTCTAAACAAAAATCGGGACACCCTATAGGCATGAACATGCAAAACGAAGAGGTAAGGGCTAAGTAGTTGGGGCGAAGGGTGAAATGGGGCTGGGCCTTATTTTCACGTAGACAATCAACAAAACATTTGACCAGGGGTGCCAAAACTTTTGCAAAGACATTACCATATAACAATTTTCAGTATTTAATGTGTGCACCCTGTGCCTTTATTACAGCTTCCATACTTATGTGAGACTGACTTTCAATTTTTCATAGAAATCTGCAGGGATACTTTTCCACACCTCCAAAGTTGAGGTCTGGACTCTGGAGTGCTAAAGGTGAACCATTGCCATGATTTCATGGATCTGCATGACATTCTGCAAATAGAATTCAATGATTTAAATCCATTGCCATAAACTATAGCCTTGCCAGAATAAAAAGTAGGCCATTGATGTGATTATTGATGTGAGAGAAGCTTCAATGTCATTGCATTTGGATGTAAATGTGTAAATGACTGATGCTTCAGCACAGAAAAACCCTGTGATTCAGGACAAATTTTGTTCTTCTAAATCAACAAGATGGCAGCTTTATGTTTGATATATATTTGATCTGATCAAAATTACAACATCTCACAACTTATAATAGTTACAACTCAGTGTTTTTTGCTGTATAGTATTTCTCCAGAGATTTGAGAGATTCTGATAACTGTCATTTTCAGTGGCTCAGTGGCCATAATGTGAACATAATGTTCTTCTGTGATGGAAGATACTCACAATGCACTTTGGTATCAATTCAGCAGACATAGTCATAGTAATTATGATTGCATTAAGCCAGATTGTAGTGCCAAAATCCAAAAATCACCAAAATCACTCTGAAATTCTGTTTAGTGATTCTTACACTAAGTGAAAAATGGTAGATGTATGCAATAGCAGTCTAGAATGCTGAGAGGCGTCCATTTCGATCACAACTTATGTTATTTTAGATGTGAAGTAGAGGTCTGCACTCTGCGGGATTCCCGCTGGACCTCACGTCAGTATCTTGCAGTGCTGTACTAATTTTCAGTGTTGTGCGCTGGAGCGGGCAGGTAACCAGCCCACTGTAAAATGATACAGTAAAACAATTCAAATGAATGAAGTGTTCTAAACAATTGTCGAGGCCAGCAAAACACAAAAAACATTCTGTGGTTTAATTCTTGCTTTCTGTTCACTGGGAATAAATGGCATATGTTGAAGTTACTTCACAGTGAGCCTGGTGACCATGACTGCTGTGTTATTTTAGCAGAAAATAATGTATTTATGAATAGACAAATATAGACAGATATCGAATATTGGATGTCAGTTCGTCTTGACAGAGCCAAAATGTTTCATTTGTGGGCAGCGAGCAGGACAAAAGATTCCAATTTTCTGTGGGAGTGGGATGAAATCTTGCAGGAGCTGGTGGGAGTGGGACTGAAAAAACTGTCCCGCACAGACTTCCAATGTGAATTATGGACCTAGCTTGTAACACACTCACAAACTCACTCACTCACATTTAACAAGACTGTCCACAAGGGGGAGCTACTGGCACTCTAGTAACTAGAGAGAAAACAGCCTTGTGTTAGCTAGAGTCTGTTGAGCATTGTGAATGCGTGAGAATTGCATGGTTATTTAGGGTATACTGGTGCTTTCCATCAATGACACTTTGTGTCCTTTACTCAGCTGCCAGTTGCAATGTAAAAGCAATGATCACTTTACTCTGAGATGCTGCTAACCTATCCAAATATACTAGCTGCATTAGCTAATATGCTAGCAACATTTCCATTTAGCTATTAAAGTGCAATATTATTATTCTGTTGGGTGGTGGAACTACTTTTTTGAAAGAGGAAATTGCAGATATTAAAAACATGCAGTGCTCAGGGCTTCTTTGTTTTACATAGTGGAACATGAGGGAGTGTATTACTATGAATAATATTACAGACGTAAATATGTACAGAATTTTCTGTGGCCTTCACATCACTATAAAATTTCATCACAAACTGTTGTATACAAGCATCACAGACACATCGTCAGATTGCAGTGACAGTAGGCCTATATTACCTGTATTGCTCGGACAGAAAACCAGACGTGTGCGGATGTTGAACAGAGGAGGTTTAATATACACAAAGCGGCCAAAGTCAAAAAGAGAAAAACAGAGCTCGTAGTCAAAAACAGTCCAAAAGAAAAGCCCAGGCTTTTCTACTCTAAACTACCTGTCATATGATCATCAACACAGGTGAAAGCAGTCAAAACTCAGGTGATTGTGAGCGCTGATAGGAGCGCCTGTGAGAGTTCGAAGTCACGTGAGACTCCATGGTATCCTGGGAAATATAGTTCTCGTCTGAAGTCGTTGAAACGATGAAGTCCGATGAAGTTCCTCCATAGAGGGAGCCGAATGCGTGACATTACATAACAGATACCAAATTGTACAAAATGCAATACATCATGAAAAAAATGTATCTAATGCAGTGGTTGTGATGTATTGTCTATTTTTATATGTGCTTTCTTCTCAGTTCTCTTACACAACAGCCTGTAGCAGTCGGATAATCTTACCAGTTACGTCTTAGCTCACAGTCTTTGAAAGATTAACTGTGCTCTTTGCTCACAGGTTGCCATACCAGGCAAAGATTTTCTTCTATCAGGCTCTTGTATGCTAATGACAGGATTTTTTCTTACATCAGGACTTCTAAGTTTCCTCAAAGGAAATAATCTCTGTATTGCCTTTTTAGAAACATGCTCTCTATTTTTCTTAGCAACTCATCAGGCTGCCAGTGCAAGTGCTTAAAGCACATTCCAGTCTTGACTGACTGACTATTTACATGCACTGAATGAATCATTGTTGGCATTTGTCTCTGGGAGTTTACAACCAATTTCTTTGTATTGTCTTCTATTGCACCAGACTGACACCGATTCAGCACAGACAATACTTTCTCAAAATAGCTCATTTGGTCATTTGACTCACTTAGAGCTGCCAGTGATAGTACATCATCAGCATATTTTAACAGGCTAGAAGTGCTCACATTCAGCAATTTTAAAGGGGTAAATTGAAAATACTGTAGGCCATAAGGCATACCCCTGAGGAACACCATTCATTAAAACCACAACCTCACAATTACATTGATAAAAACACTTCAAAGACAGTTACAAAATAATGAGTTGATACAGAATATTAGTCCACCCTTAAAGTGACAATTAAGAAGATGTTGTAATAGAATATGCCTTAATAGAATTAAAAAAAGGTGTTAGTTTGATTGCTATACATGTCTGTGCTAACTGTATTACTCAAGAAAAGGGTACCAATAGAAGAACACTGTCGCTAAAATCTTTGATGCTTACTGGAGTGAAATACTACGACTATTAGAATATTTTAATTGTTTTATGATTAATCTTAAGCATAGACTGCAAGAACATCCTTATTTGCTAGGTTTGATTGACCTTACTGAAGAACTGTTGTACTTTTAAGGTTCTACTATTCTAAAACTCTGTCTTCTCTCTGAATGGCAGGCAGTGACGGGGAGAAGCTTTGGTGAGAAGGATTTCAGGAGCGGACTGGAGAATGGCATTCTTCTATGCGAGTGAGTGTTGCAGCTAGTGACTTATCTAAAAAAGTTGTTAAAAATTCCATGATTTTCACTACAAAAGTTATTAACTGTAGTACTTTAACTATTAATTATTAAAACAATTTCAGTGAAGTAAATCATCTTTGAACTATATAGTTAAAAGCTTTTTATTAAAGCTTTTTCAGTGGTTTAAGCCATGGTTCCCAGCCTTGGTCCTGGAGTATTGCTGCACATCTTGCACATTTTAGCAGCATATTAACCCCTTAATGAGTTCAAATGGAAAGCACTAACTGCAAGTGTTCAGTGTAGGTCTTTTATCAGGGTTCGACAGTTGTGGCTTACAGCAGTTAAATGATTGTAAAAATGTAATTGGCTCAATTAGCTCTAACTAAAGAATAAACTATGGAAAATGTTTAAATGGCTAAAGTAATACAAACTACAAACTATAAAACTATTTCAACTATTAGTTATAATACTATTTTATTGACTAGTGTAGTTCAACTATTAACAGTAGAAATGTTTGGCTAACAGAACCATTAGCTAGTGTAATTCAACTATAAACAGTCAAAAACTTATTTTCTAGTGTAATTCAACCAAAAATTCTTGAAAGTATTTCATTGGCTGGTGTAAGTCAACTAATAACTTTGAAACCATTTAATTGGATAATATTTTTTAAAATTAAAATGATAAAACTTTTTCATTGGCTTGTGTCAACTAATAATTATAAAACCATGTAACTGGCTAATGTAGTTTGACTGAAATATATAATTTTTTTTATTGGTTGATCAGCTTATAACTATGAAACTATTTCATTGGCTAGTGTAATTAGCTATAAAAAATAATAATATAAAAAAAAATAATAATATTAGCAGTCAAAAAATATTGACCATCAAAATTCAACTATAAACTATGTCAGCTATTTTATTAGCTAGTGTAATTCAGTAAACAGTTAAAGATTCATTGGCTGGTATTATTAGTAACTATGAAACTATTGAATGGATTAGTGTAATTCACCTCTAAAGAATATTTCATTGGCTAGTGTATTTTACTGGCTAGTGAATTTTAACTGTCAAAGCTATGTCACTGGCTAGCGTAATTCAATGACTATGAAGCTATTTCACTGGCTAGCGTATTTCAGTGACTATGAAGCTATATCACTGGCTAGCATAATTCAATAACTATAAAGCTATATCACTGGCTAGCATACTTCCGTTATGAAAAGTAGTCCGCTGGCTAGTGTAACTCAACTATTAACTATGAAAAGTACTTTATTGACTGTAACTCAACTTCGCAATTAACTGTGCAAGTAAAATTGAATTGGTTGGTACAACTCAAAATACAAACTATGCAAACTATTTAATTGGATAGAGTAATTAACAGCTATTAACTGTTGAAAAAACACTGGCTAGTGTAGTTCAGCTATTAACTATGAAATCTGTTTCACTGGCTAGACTACAGCAGTCAGCTATGAACTGTGAAAACTTTATCTTTTAGCACATGGGTTCTTTATAGCGTTTTAACTATGAACACTATTTCACTGGCTTGAAATAGTTTAACCTACTGTTAAAGCTACTTCATTTGCGAGAGGAAAATATAAATGTTCCCTTCTCTGAGTGGCTCTCTGGGTTTAGTAAACCACATGAAAATTTGGAGGGCTTAATAATTGTCCGATGGGCAGAACTGGCTGTGTTAGGCCTTAGCAAAGCACTCAAATGAGAAGAAACCTCTGCTTTGGTGATTTTTTCTTTTCACCTGAGTGGTCTTGAAAGCTACGCAGAAAGGTTTAAATTACTGAAATATACTCACACAGAAAGTGCACATGCATAACTGTTAAAGAACACAATGTCATACTCTTTAATTCTAGGTTGCTGAGTTCTATCAAACCAGGACTTGTGAAAAAGATCAACAGACTCCCAACCCCCATCGCAGGACTAGTAAGTACTCAGAGTGTGTGTGTGTGTGTGCGCATGTTGGTCATTCATCTGTTGAGTTTTTCTCACATCTCGCAGCATCACATAGCCTGGAAGCACTAGAATACACAATGTATTGAACATTCAATGTTTTGTCAGTAAATGACAAACAATTTTATAGCTCTTTATTTAATTCAGTTAACACTATGTTGACATTGTGCTCTGCCTACGGCATCAAACTGTGCATTCTTATTTGACTCAGATAGCATATGTAAAACATACTAGTGAAGAGTTTAATTTAGTAATGTACGTCACTAGGGCTTAATATGTGCCCGAACAAGTTGGGTCTGGGTCTGGCATGTCCCAGATTGGGCCTGGCCGGGATATTAAACACAAATCACGTTTTCATGCAGTAAAAAGCCTTATTCGGATTGGATCAGTTTATCAGGCAGATGTCTGTAAAACAAATTTAAACGTCTTCTCAGTGATAAAAGTCACGTATCCAGACCATAAAATTACCAAAAGAGGCGTGAGTTTGGGGCTGTAATTTCTACAAGCCTGGATTTTGCGTCACACATGTTCTAAGCTTTATTTGTGTGAATAGTTGATGCTATAGTACATATCACTGCACATATCAGAACAAATCCTCTATTTTTATCGTTTTTTAGTTTTTGACATTATTTGAATATGCCTGTTATCCTTTACATTATGTGCGAATTTCATGATGAATGGACCAAAGGAAATGCCCCAGATTGACTTGGAAAAAATTCTGGTTCCACTGACTTACATTAAAAGTAAAGCAGGTTTTTTCCTTCGCCTGTAAAGTTCTCATTTTGGAGATACAAGGTTTTTGTTCTGACAACATCATTATGACATTGTATAGCTGTGCATGGATAGAAAGTGCTTTATACATGTAGCCACCGTTATAATTGCCCCTTTAATCAGCCTGCGGGATATCCCTTCTCTGGTAGACTTTGTTTCTTTTTCTGCTAATACTTTCCCAGTGCATAGACGATGAAGATGAAGTTCTACCATCCAGACCAAGTTAATAGTTGAAAGACTATCAAAGCATTAACTTTGAAACAAAAATTTAATAAAGAAAAAAGCTGGGATTGTCCTAAATTATTTTATTTCTGGCAATCAATATTTGATATGCTTTCCAACATTACTGATGAATCCTTAGTACAATCAGCCTCACTTGCTTTATTTGCACCACAACGTCTTATTTAAAAGAACAACCAATTTTTATTGTATCTTTTGCCACATTAGTGGCTGGATGACAAATTCTGGTTAGATGGAAAGACAGCAGCCCCTCAGAATTTGCACATCGGATTAGGGGCATGTTGGATATTATTAAGATGGAGAAGATTAATTATATGGTTAAGGGGTCAACTGATAAGTTCACATCGATTTGGCAGTCTTTCCATAGTCATGTTGATGCTTTAAGCTCTGCTTATTTTACAGCTGAGTAAAGATATTGGTTTATATGTATGTAACAAGGAGTCTTTCATCGATTTGAATGTATCTCTGTAGCAGATTGTTAAAGTTGTGTTATCAAATTCAGAGATAAACTTTGTTCAAAGAAAAAATAAGGATACACACACTAGGAGAATAAATACGGGCAAGTAGCAGCGACCACAAAAAAATCGGCCACAAAAAATCTCCCAAAATCTCAGAGATGTGTATCCAGATGGGATTAAATTTATCATATGACCGCAGAGTTTGGTGAAAACAGTAGGTAATTTGGTCTGTAATGTTCTCAGGGGGAGAGGCATGGCCAATCCGGACAGAAATGAAATCATACAGAAACATCTGTAAAAGAAGAAGTTACCCCAGTACCCAATGTAATCTTAATCCCATCTGAATAGGGCTAAAGTGTATATAAAGTAAACAATTTTGTTTATTTAGCTGAATAGCTGAACAGGCTAACATGTGATATTCAGTTAGGCTTTACTGGATTCACTTTAAAACAACAAACAGATTAAAGAAAAGCTCTGCATAGCATGATATTGTTCAGTTAAGTCTACTCTTTGGCATCAAAAATACTCAAGGGAATTGCTAGATTTCATGATTGCTTATATAATAGACAGTGATAGGCCTATACTGGTGTAAGAGATGTATGTGTATGATGAGTGTTTCTGTCCCAGGACAATCTCACCATGTTTCTGAGGGGATGTGAGGAATTAGGACTGAAAGGAACACAGCTGTTCAACCCAGGAGACCTGCAGGACACATCAATACGCGCTAACCTAACGTACGCTACACTGTGTGTCTATTAACCAGGGGTTTCCAATCCCAGTCCCAGTGATCCCTTTCCTCTGCATAATTTTTTGTTTTTTCTCTACTCTACACACCGGACCCAGCTCTGGAGGAGCTTGTTAATTAATTGATGAGTTGAATTAGGTGTGCTAGATGAGCCAAAGCACAAAACTGTGCACAGTGTGGGGTCTCCAGGACTGGAATTGGGAACACCTGTATTAATATATCTGTCAGTGCTTATTGCTGTATACATTGTTTGAAAATCTGACACTGTTCCATCTTCTCCTCTTTTGCTGTTCTTGTAGGGGTTCAGATTGTAGTAGAAAGCTAAAGAACGTAAGTATGCTAAAGTTATATAATCGCTGTCATGAGAAAGGGTAAACAATGGGTGAACATTTTATGGCAAATAGACCAATAAAAATGTTAAAAGCAAACTTTTCCAGTTGTTATATTAACAGTTGATAAGAACATTATTTGCCATTTTGGAAATAGTTACAAATTGCAAGAAAAACAATAGGCATATGCATATTTTATGTGTTTTTATTTGTGTTATTTTTATCGATCATTCATTTTTATGTGTGTGTGACTGTGGCCTTTGCTGTATGTTCAGGTCCTGATCACTATTTACTGGCTGGGCAAAACTGCTAACAGTTGTGCATTTTATAACGGTCCGATGCTTGACCTGAAAGAGTTTGAAGGCCTTCTATCCATGATGAGGAAGGTAAAAAACCTGACAAATATGGCTGTCTTGTGTGGAGCATTAATCATGGAGACAAACCTCCCCAGCATGGGTGGACAATATGATGACACATTATTGTTATTGCGATAATTTATGTCACAATATGCTTTTCTGAATATATCATGCAGTGAGGAACCCTCAGGACCTTCACACCTTAAGAGAAGGTCTAATGATTTTTGGGAGCTAAATTATCATTTAGTTTTTAATTATCACTGTAGTTTCACTGTAGTTATTGTAGTAATGCTTTCATTTCATTGTCAGGCTTTTATAGGAAACAAAACAGTTAAACTCTTGAAATGGCCAGGAGAAAGTTATTCAATCAGTTAGCTAGGAGCTAACTTACTGATAGAATTCCATAGGGGTGTTAGCATGTACATTTATGGCATTTGGCTGATGCTGTTATCTAGAATGACTTATAAGTTGATCGATGTACACAGGTAGGCGAAGGTAATGCCCAGTGACTCTTATTGGTATAAGCTGGCCATGGGTGCTTGCCCAGGCGGGGGATCGAACCCCACTCGGTAGCGTGGAGGTTACCCACCACAATATATCAACCACTCAAGAATTAGCTTTATTGTAGAGTTGTCTTTTGCATTTATGGCCCAAACTAAAGACCTAGCTTTAACAGTCGCAGTTGCCATTGACATCATGGGTATCATCAGTATTTTAAGAACTCTGAACAACTGCACGTATCATTAAATTGCATAGTAACAGATTACAGTAAAAGATTAGATGTCAACTCATTATGCCAATGTATTATTTGTTTATTGTTGGGAAAACAAGTAAAAAAATATTTCCTTGCCTTTTTTAAATGTTTTTTCTTGTGCATTTTGTCAATTCTAACATGTTCACAAACCTCAGAAAGGCTAAATACTGTGATACGTATCATGTAATGTGTTATGATGTTATTGCCAAAATAGCTAACATATGGAAAGTTTTATTCTAAGCAGCATCCTCAGTGGTCCTTGCTCATCATTCCAGTCTCTGCCTATGTGTTTGTCTGTGTGCAGGAGTGTGTGAGCGAGGAGTCAGACTCTCCTAAGCGGAATATACGGGACAGTGGTTATATAGATAATTGGGAATCGGAGCGTTCTGATTCGCTGTCGCCGCCAAGGCACGGGCGAGATGACTCTTTCGACAGCCTGGACTCTTTCGGTTCACGATCACAACAGACACCTTCCCCTGACACTGTTCTCCGTGGCAACAGCGACGGTAAGTTTCCCTTCTCTTGCTCCTTAATCTGTTCAGTTCATTTTGATATCGATTTCGCATGATTGTATTTCATAAAACATTGTCTGAGAAATGAGAATATACAATAGATTGTTTCTGTAACAACGTGCTTTTTTAGGTCCCAGCTGTAGATTTTGTATACAGGTTTAAATTTTTAGCCCAAATCACAGAAAGGATTTTATTAGCGCCATAATTCATTTTTACATATAAATTAATTGCTAAGCTTATAGATTCATGCAATTTATGAATAAATTAAATGTATATATCATGTTCCACAGCTATGATTTAAACTTTCAGGTGACAGAATTAAATGATTTCCTTTGAAACTGCATTGCATAAATGTTAAATAAAAAATAGAATTTAATAATTGTAGTGTATTGCATGTATACATACAGTTATATACAAAAGTTTAAACAAATGACGTTTTTTTGAAATGAAAAAGATTCATCCGATTTCAAAGCACCATATTTTTACAACCGTGAGGCGCCTAGGAACCAATCACATACCAATTGAAAGAGGGGGTCATAGAGTTTCTGATTGTCAGTATGGCAATGAACCTCCAACAGCTCAGAGCATTCGTTCCAAGAACATCTAGTTCCAAGAAAAAGGTCACCAGCATCACCAGATCTCACACTGTGTGACTTTTGTTCCGTCGAGTAGGGGATGAATTTGACTATGTCGTTGATGTTGTCTATACAGCTGAAGAAGGTTCATATTGAGCACTTGTAAAATTACATAATAAACTTTATTCTCACTTAAACCATTTACAATTTACTGCATTGTTCTGTAATGATTTACAAGTGAAATAAATCATTTTGAAATCAGGGGAATCTTTTTGAATCACCCTGTATATTAATCACTGCCATACCACAGTGATTTTTTCACAATATGTTGAATTCAGCAGGTAAACAGTAATTATGTGTTAAATGAGCAGATTTATAGTCAACAAAACATGTCATTTGACCAGAGATGCACCAACTTTTGCATATGACCTTATGTCTGTCCCACATTTATACGTCCTTGCCACAACACTGAGCAAATGATTCACAATAAAGTCTTTTTCAAACGTGAAACAAATCTAGTTTCCATGGAAACTAAGTTTGCCAAAGAGTTGACGTGTGGGAAACCTGATCTTTGAAGAGTAGCAAAGTAAATGTCATAATTTCATAATCAGTATTTTCTGCATGTCATTACTATACAGCCTATAACTGGTGTGTTTTAAATTAGATTTTTTAAAGCAATTTCACATTTATGTTGAATTCAGATGTAAGTTGTGCACTAAAGCTAATGTAGCAGAACATGCTGTTACACTGAAACACAGTGGAAATGTCTTTAACACAATATTTTCTTACTGCAACAGCTCAGAAAACAAAATGCTGTTTTTGTAAAGGGCACATGTTCTGAAAGACTGAACTGTCATCACTTTTTTTAAGTTAAAGCAGTATGTAAACATTGTTGAAGCTCAAAATGTGTCATTCATTCTTCGGTCCATACAGTATATGTATGGAAACTAAGCTACAAAACCATTCATTGTTTTTGCGATGCCGCAGAAATCAAATATTCACCCAATCACCCTAATTTTTACCATTTATACATATTCACCCAATCATCCTACAGCAGTTTAGCTCCGCCCACTCAAGTTGTAGTTATAAGAAGTGTTTCAGTCTGAACTGCTTTTGTGATGAGGCACAATACAGGGCAACCAGTCAGAGCAGCTGATGACTTTTTGGTGCATAAAACCACACAAATGTTAAAGGTGGGGAAAAATAATAATTGTAGCCATAATTGTAATCATAATCTCTCTGTTCATATTTTCTGTCTTCCCATGCACACACAGACACTCATCATATCCAAATGGCCTGTCTAGTCACTGAATCTTCAGACTAGAACAGCTGGCCATGGACACACACACACACACACACACACACACACTTGCACCCACATAACTGACTACCATGAACACACAATCATAACACTCAGAGTGCAGCTGTCAGCTTTACACACCAACATGACACACACAGCTGTTGAAAAATGAGGATATATCATAGAATCTGTGAGATTCACATGAGAATTGTAATCTGTGACTGATCACTTCATCCAGAAACACACAACACTGGGGCTGTTTAATTCCACAAATTTTGGACTTGAGTACAAGTGATGGGAGTCGATGAGGTCGATGAGGTAGATGAGGTAGATTCCAAATGTTGATCCACACAGGAAACTCGGCGTGTGAGTTGTGGAAGGGTGCGTTTTCACACAAAGTGTCTAGACAGTGACAGCAGAATATCTCTTACTATCAAACCATGTGGAATGAAGTCCAAAGCTTTGGAGTCGACTCTCGATTTCCAAAAATCCTGGTAAGGAGAAATTGATTCTGCACAGTAAAGTTTCACAGTAAGTTTCATTGTTTTTTAAAGATCTTTTTGATTTCTTTTAAAGTGAGATTGAAAGATTTAGATTTATCATGAGTTTAATTTAAAAAAACTTTATTAAAATATACGCTGTCTCACAGCCTTGTTGTAGCCACACTCCTGCATTTTAGAGCAGGAAGTGAGACTGCATCCCTGTCCCTCATGGCCACATGGTGAGCAGTTAGATCCCATTGTTTTGAGGTAAATGTGTCCCAAAGTGTGTACATCAGTGCGTAACATTAAGAATTGTCACTGCTGCAACACAGATTTTCTGCAGTTAAGTAAACGTTTTTATATTTTAATGAAAAATACTATGAGTTTATGTGTGTACAGCTGTTCAAAGCTGTGTTTGCTAGTCATATACTAGCATTTTTGATTATTACAAATTACATTACCAAGCCTCTTCTGGTAAACTAGTCCAGCTCGAATAGGGCTTATGTCTCATGTTTATGTCTATGTTTCATGTTTAGCGGAAATCTTTCCAGACTCTCCTCAGGCATCACCAGCTACCCACTTCTGCTGCAGCCATATTTCATTATTAAAATCAGACACTGTTTCTGAGTCAACATTTAGTATTAGTTGAGTAGTTGAGTACTCTTCATTTACTACCAGATCGAAGAAAATCTTTATTAGTAGCAACTAGAGACTAGTAGCAGATGCTCCATTTGTAGGTAGTTATACACAGAGGTGGGTAGTTATGTTTCCTCAAGACTGTACTTAAGTAAAATATTGATGGCTTTGTACTTTCCTGAGCATTATCAAATCATAATACTTTACTTTTACTCAAGTATAATCAGTGAGTAAAGGACTTTGCTTTTTACTCAGTTACATTTTAGCTGTTCATATTTAGTTACTAATTTTATTTTTGGGTTTAAATTTATTATGTTTTGTTGTTGAAAACATGTGTACTGCTTTGTGATCGGTCACACTCAGTGTGGGGGGTCCCATGTTGGCTGGCTAATCCAGCATTGCCTGGTTACTAACGCATTCACCATAGTGTCGCTAATGCTAGCTTCAGTGGCAACAAAATGTTTGGTTCAATGATTCTTTGTTTGCTCTTTTCTAGTTTGGTCATGTGGTCTTACACACTTTAACTGAGATCTTACACATGTCCTCGTTTTCTTCAATTTGACAAATGAGTAACAATTCACTCTTTTCAGCAGTCTGTTGGGAAATTGAGCACGTTTTCAGATTTCCAAATATTCCTCTGCATATTGTAAAGTTTTTCAGAGGTAAAACGGGCACTAAGAGGTTACTCAGACCCCCAGGACCCCCTGTAATTTGCACCTTGGTCACACCTTCGAGCTGTAGCATTTTATTTTAGACCAAAATAATCCAAAAACAAAAATAATAGAGCCTAATCTTCAGTTCCTGTGCTGATATATTCTGGATTTACTAAGACATTTCACTACAGTTCTACAGTGGAGAAAGTAGTTTTTAACTTGATATTTTTGTACATCTTTTTAATTTTAACTGAGTGACTATTTTACCCAATTATCAATACTTTTACTTGAGTCTGGTTTTAAGCTATTCTGCCCATCTACTGTATATAGCAAAGGTCTTTTTGTTTAGCAAAGTTTTAGATGGACCTATTTCATTAATAAAATCAGGCACTGTCCCAGACTAGTCTACATTTAATGAAAATTATTTTAGCAGTAGCAACTAGTGACCAAAGGCTGATGCTCCAATTATAGGTTGTTATACATTGGAGAAATCTTTTTTAAAGTTTAAACTGCCATATTTCAAGACTGAAATAAGGCACTGTCCTCATCTAGTTGACATTTGCCGACTGTGCCGACTAGTGCATATATTAGTTGACTTAATATGCAAGCCGTAGGCTATAGACCCAGACCCAGTCATATCAACACGCACAAGCTGAAGTTAATCAATCGTATCAGGTCCCTAAGGCTGTCTGAATGGAGGTTAGAAGGCACCGTCTCGCCTGATTGCACCAGTCTCAAATATTTATGTGCGTTTTTGTGTGTGTGTATGCAGTGTGGATGAACAGTGGTATTGTTATTTGTTAGTTAGATATGAGTCCCCCTGCTGGCGGTGGTTATAACATGCATTTTGGAAATATGGACAATGAATTAGTTGCCAATATGGCTGGTGTTTGCCAATCTGGCACCTTCCCAGAATAGAGAAAATCATGGTTTTAACAGCCGTTTAACCTACTTGATATCAAGATATCGTCCTGTTAACATCACCCTGTAACAAAAAGGAAAATACTGTTGAAAAACATTATCAGCAACTGTTTCAACCAAAACCCATATTAAATTATGAAACAATGTACATAAAGCCAAACAGCCAATAATTTTGTTTAAAAAAAAAAACAATTGAAGTACAAAACCAACTTGGGATAGTAGGTTATATAAACAGAAAGCAGTGATTTATGAATGTACTTTGACCTGCATTTGAACAAAAAACAGTACAAAGAGAAAATATTTAATGTTTTATCTTATGAACTTAATTGTTTTTTGTAAATGTACACTCATTCTGAAACGGATGCCTGCAAAATTCCAAAAAAGATGGGACATGGCAAACTTAAGACTAGGAACATTGTTAAATGCATCAGCAAAAAAATCCAGCATTTTAAAAGTAACGTTCCTCAGCCAGGGATTTTAGGTATTTCACCCTCAACAGTACATAATATCATCAGACGATTCAGGGAATCTGGAGAAATCTATGTGCGTAAAGGACAGAGCTGAAAACCTGAAGGGACTGCATTAAAAACAGCATTTTTCTGAGATGGAGACCACCACATGGGCTCAGGAATACATTTACAAACTATGGTCAATAAACACTGTCCATCACTGCATCCACTAATGGAAGTGGACTATACTCTGCACAGTGCAAGTCATATATCAATAACGTCCAGAAACACAGCCAACTTCTCTGGGCTCAAGCCCTTCTGAAATGGACTGATGCACAGTGGAAGTGTGTATTGTGTTCTGACGAGTCCACCTTTCAGATTTTTGGAAACAATGGACATGGTGTTCACTGGGCCAAAGAAGAAAAGAACCATCCCGATTGTTACGAGCTTAAGGTTCAAAAGCCAGGGTCTGTCATGGGGGGTATTAGTGGGTAAAAGATTATAATGTAGATTTTCATTTTGGCAAAAATGTGCTCAGGAATACACACATAGATAAACTCGGGTACATGAGATCTGCTCTCCAGTAAAGACTAAAATGGATGAGCTTGTCCAGAAAAAAGAGTGCCAATGTGGCAGTTTGGCATTATTTCGGTTTCCAGCCAAACAAAACTGTGAATTTTAATGTGTGACACTATTTAAGTTACATGCCGTCAGTGTAGAATATAGTTATCATGATAAATAGCTAGTACTTTTGAAGCTAGCCCAGTTAGTAATTATAGGGTAGTAATATCACAATCACCGAAAAAGCTGTGTAATTCTCGTGTGGAATTTCATAACTGAGTTTGGATCACAATGATATGGTTTATTACCAATTCTGTATTTGTCTAAATTTACGTCATCATCCAAGCTTAGCCAATGGTCAGAAACTAGGCAAGTATAATTGGTCTCGTTTTCTCTGGCTGTGTAGGATGACCCTCCTACTTCTTCCATCCTTCAACTTGATGCTAACTATGGGTGTCTGTTGGCTAACATAACAGAATTAGCAGTTAGAGTTCTCCTCTAGTCCTCTATGTTGAAGCATGCAATGACGTGCAATGACGTGTGTTAGCAGCCGTTTAAAAAGATGTAGTAGTAGCGCTTCATGTGTCTCAGAGGAAGCACATGCTAGCCTTTATTCTCCCAGTTTGGTAGCATCATGTGGTGGGGGAGACTTAGCTAGCAGGTTAAACTGAATGGCACTAAATTTGGCGGTGGCACCCCTAGTGGTCTGGTACCTCTGGGTGAATGCATCAGTCCTGGGTTATGAAAATTAGCCCCCAGTTTATTCATTTTGTGTCTTCTTTTCTTTCAGACTCGGAGGGTGACGGTGGTCCCCGGAGGTTACCAGACGTGCGCAAAGACGACATGTCTGCCCGCCGGGTCTCCTATAAAGAGCCTCGCGCCGCGTTGCCCTTTAACCAGTATCTTCCCAACAAGAGCAACCAAACCAACTACATCCCCGCTCCATTGAGGAAGAGGAGGAGTGAGCGAGAGGAAGAGTGGAGGAGTGCCAGCAATGCTACTTCCCCTGTCGGAGGAGAAAGACCGCTCAGGTACTGTTAAATGAGTTGAGGAATGAGAGGTTGTCTTTCTTTTGGGAGAAGAACTGAAGATCCTGCAGTTGGCTACAGTCCATGCCTGTCCAGTTTCCAATTCATTTCACTTGAACTCAATTTAATTTCATTTGTACTTCCAGCAATAGATCCCAAATAGCCTCATAGTGATGCAGAGGACTATTGCTACTATTACCCGTCCAGGTTGTTTGGATTACATCATTTAATAGAACTGATAAAAGACATAGATTGTGGAAATATTGACAGTTTTCTCCTTAGCCTAAATGTAGTCGATTAGCCAAGACATGATTAGAGGTTGAAAATCACTTCTTCAGGTTTGCAATGCAACATTCGGTGCCAAATTAAAGATGCAAAAATTCAGACACTGAACATGTCTTGGTCTGATTGACTACATTTTGGGGCAAGAGGAGAACTGTGTTTGTATTTTTTACTAAACTATTGCTGCACAAGGTATCAAGCATCTGTCCGGGCTGTATGAACAAGTATTAGCGCACATATACATCTTCTAGGCCTTCATCCACCTTCCATCAGGCTTGGCCTAAAACACTTATGGTTTTCTCTTCTGCTGTGTGTGTCAGAGAGGAGTGTGTTGGGGTATTGAGAGATGGGGGTATCAGCCCCAACGCCCAGAAAACTGTCACCTGGGCAGTTGCAAAAGGGGCAGAGCCTGAGCTTGGGGAGGAGGAGCTAAAGAAGATGAGAAAGCTAGAGAAGGCGGGGATTAAAGTATTGCCTGCCACTGTGAGATATAACAGGTTAGCAGCTGCCATCGTGTGTGCATAGAATGGGAGTTCACTCACCAATGAGAGTGCATGAATGTGAATATGTGTCTTACCTCTCAGACAAAAATGTATTTATTGTGTGTATTATCTCCTCTAATATAGCTAAACAATAGTGGTGGTGTGTGTACAGAGCTGTGTGTGCATGTGAGCTTTTTCAACTCACCGATGTAGAGTGTGCGTGAGGATCCAAAATACTTGAAATTTACAACATTGCATGGCAGGTCAGAAAAGCAAGGAAAGGGGAATAAATGCGCAGGACACTGATAAAACAGCTGTGGCCAATGATTACGAGGGGCTTACAGACAGCACACAGGTGACATAGGCACCACTCATACGTGGCCATAACAGGCATCCTGTGTGATCCGATCGTAAGTGGACAGTACAGGTGTGAACAGGGTCCAGTGCATCTCGGAGACACATTGTGATCCAGTCATCCCTGAGGTGGTTAGGGAAGCCTAAAGCATCCTGATGCATCCCTGACCATTATGAACTGTCATCACCGCAAAAGTGCTTTGTGTAGCTTCTTTCCTTGTTTCCACTCATGTTGGTTTATAAGGCTATACGTCTCAGGGTGCACTTAAGATCAGTTACATTCAGCTATGTACAAGGAGACTTAGAAGGTTTGCCTGCCTACTTAGTTCTCATTTGTGCCTTATCTGAATGCATTGCCTGCTGTTTTATCAGACAACTTATGAGTGCATAGAGGTTGTTGTATGTCTGTTATGCTTATGACTCTAGCTGTGCTAGTTCCTTGATATTTGTTTCAGTTTGGTTTAAATGGCCTTACCTCAAAACTAATCTTTTGTCAAAGAGTGACGAAAAGCATACTGGATGCAAGTCGTGGGTTTGAAAGTACTAACGCTCCGCTGCTCGAACGACTTGTGATGTAGATTCAAATTCTCGTTGTCATGGCAACCTTCCCCCTCCAGTCCTAAGGTGACTGGTGTCGAACCCGATCAGGCCAAGTCTCCATCACCTGACATCATCCTTCGTCATGACAATGACTTCCTGCGGGCAGACCACCCACACGACCGGGACGCCAACAAGGATGATGAGGATGAAAATGCAGAAAGAAGAGTCCCAGACGTCCAGAAGGACGACCTGGCGTCCCGAAGAGCGCGTATGAACCAATCGAGACCCCACGTGACTCATCACTTCCTGCCAGTGGGGTGCAGCATGAAGGACCGCAAGCGATGGGAGGGGATCCGGCTGGCATCCCAGCATGCAGTGCTGGAGAGGATGGAGAAAATGGAGCAGGAGAAGAGGAGGTGTGTAGGAATGCATAAAGTGGAGGCAGGGCCCATTAAATGGGGCAAAATAAAACTTGCCGATATTGGTACGATGCATGGCTCGTAGGCTATCACAATATTTTTCATTAATCTTTCCTAAAACTAGCTAGCAAGTTATTAAAAACTTGGTAGAAGCTAACAAATTACCTTTTGTTTTTGTTCAGAAGGTAAATCTACAGTGGATTATTATTAATTATTGCACCCTTGGTAAAATATGCAAAAAAATATGTCAAAAAACTGCTAAGCTAAATTCAAAGCCATTAATCAAATACATACACATGATCACACACATCAGCTGAATTCTGTATTAATCCACCAAGTATATGGAATTCTGTTATGTCCTGCTAAAGCTCTTAACTCTACGAAAACTAAACAAAACACTCTATAAAGTGGGAATTCCTATTCTGAAGGTCGGAAAGGTGTTCCCACTAACATGCAGACAAGAGTTGGTTAAATCTATAACACTGACCAAGTCTTTTGAGATGGTAAATATGTCATGGATGTTAAAGTTATCATTCATATCACCAACATTAGCAGGCAAGTTAAATGATGCAGTTCCCACTCCAGAGTTAAAGTTGCAGTGTGTACGATTTAGCAGAAGTGGGACAGAGTATACAAAACCATGTTTCCATTGGTGGATAATCACCTGTATCTACGAATTGTTGTTTTTGTTAGCTTAGATTGAGCCCTTCATAGCAACATAGAAGCAGCAGGTCCATTTCAAGTAGAAGCAGCCATGTTGCACCGCCATGTTTCTACAGTAGCCCTGAATGGACAAATCGAGCACTGCCTTCTGCTTTTTTATGTTGGCGTGGCAGCTTGAATTTGGTGGTGCTGTAGCACTATGTTGGAGGGGTCAGAGAGGGGTGTTCAGTTGGTTGCAATCTGCAACATGGCCACTGTGTGCCACTAAAACTTACACACTGCACATTTAAGTTGTACATTGCATAGTTTTGGACTGTTACTTGGCACCTGTAAACTACTGTTAAAGAACTACAATGCTTGGCATAACCGTGGTGTATTGTAATTATTATTGCTCATAAATGAAATTAACTATTGAGCTTTGGTATATTTGTTCATATTTCCAAAAGCAGTGGGCCACTGAAGGTCATGTGGTATAGTAAATTCACCACAGAGGAGTTTATTGGCTTGCTTTGACATGTCACTGCTAGAAATTGGCTTTTCTGTTAAATTTACCAAGGGTGCCAATAATTTTGGAGAGTACTGTAAAGATGTAGTCTTAATTTAAGGAAGTTAAGGATTCAAAATAAAAGTTTCATATGAAACTTTTATTTTGAATCCTTAACTTCCTTAAATTAAGATATAACATTATATAACAAGATATATTATATAACATATATGACAAATTTAAGAGTGATATGAAGTGTCTGAATCAATAGTTCACTTTTTCATTTATTTATTCATTCTTATTTTCTTCTTTCCTTCTGTCTGTATGCAATGAAAATGTGTGTCCTTGGTGGTGGTGTGTTTGGGGTCTACGTGTGTGTTCCGGGGATCTGTGGGGTATTGTTTTTGGGGTTTTTTGTTGTTTTTTTTTTGTGGCATTGCCATACTAAAGTGAGGCTGACTCTGCCTCTACTGAAGTGTCAATCATTACCCGTAAGGACAACCCCTTTCTTACTCCTCGTGGGAAAAAGATGGGGGAGAAAGAGGAGAGTGATGAGGAGGGAGAGGGGCGGGCAGTGGTGCCAAATCTATATAAGGATGACCTGGCCAGGAGGAGAGCTCAGAGTGGGACCACCCTGCAAAGAGACCCCCGTCAGTCACTAGTCCAGACGGCCATTACTCAGTCTGACCTTGAGAAGTGGCAGAGACTTTCAATGAACACTGAAAACAGGTGCTTTGAAATAAACAAGCAAAAAAAACGAAGGAAATTAAAATCAAACCAGTTTTAGGGAAATGATGTTTTAAACTGCTAAAAATGTTTTAAACTTTGGGTATATTTTACACAGTGGCAAAACATGACTATTATAGCTAAACCTTTAATTAGGGATATAAATGTCAAAATGTGGGTAAAACATGAGGAAAAACCAATTTTCCTGTGGGATTCTAGTAGTTTGTTAGCGCTAAGCTAATTGCAGTTCGCTTGAACATTCTTCGGCCATACCAGATTAAACACAGACTTTTAAATCTTCTAAATGACGCTGTTTTCCATTTCTAACAACCCATTGATTAGGCTGCAGCTCGTATTCAGTCAGTGACATATCTAGGACTTCCAGAAGGCCTACTAGAGTTTTTTTGTTTTTTATTATGTCAGATTAATGAAACATATTAACAGAAAAACTACATGAAGAAAACTGCCAAAATCTGGGTTTTTCCCATGTGTCTTATTAGTAAATGTATTCTAAAATGTTACTTTTTATGTCTTGTGATGGAATACCAAATACATTTAGCAGAGTGTATTTGTATTCAGCCATCACTAGGTATTCTGCCCAAAGAATGTGTCAAAATGTGGAAGGTTGGCTTTGACTTTCTAAACATGGTAACTGTTCTGTTGTTGAAAAATCATAAGACACCAATAGCCCTTTCCACCTTGTTGTTCTTCAGTGAGGCCTCCCCTGCTGAGGCATCAATCATAACTCATAAGGACAAGCCCTTCCTGACCCCTGAGAAAGCGAGGGTGAGAGAGGATGAGAAGGAGCATGGTGATGAGGGGGAGTCAGAGGGAGGAGGGAGGGCGGCGGTGCCTAACATACAGAAAGATGACCTGGCCAGGAGGCGTGGCCAAACTGGGGCCCTCCCACAGCGGGATCCTCGGCAGACCCTGGTTCAGACGGCCATCACTCAGTCAGACTTGGAGAAATGGCAGAGGCTGAAGATGAGCACAGAGGACAGGTGCCTGACTACAGACCTTGACCTCTGACTGACTGTAGAGCTGACCTGACGTTAAAACACTGCATAAAGGCAGGTTTACAGTGTATGATGCTGTCGGAGACAAAAAATGCAAATTTAAGTTAAAAGAGTTAAAAAAAGAGTTAAAATTGGTCTTTGAACGTTAATGTGATACGCTCCACAGGGGCCAGTGTAGTGCCTTTGCAACCGAAGACAGCCTATGAAAAAGTTTTGGTGGCCCAAATTTTAGATTTGTTTTCAAAATCCCACAGTATGTGTTAAGAAGCAGAGATGTGTGTGAAAGGGACAGAGAGAGAGAGGTAATAAATTAAGGTAAAAAAGTGTTACTATTAATCATATATTAGCTCACATACGTTAGCGTGGCCCGTTTATATGTGTTGCATATAAAGGTATATAGACTGATGAGCCAAAATATTATGACCAGCTGCCTAATATGTTGGTCCTCCTCATGCCCCTCAAAACAGTCCTACCCCCTGAGGCAAGGACTCTACAAGAATCTCCTATGGGAGATGTTATCAGCAGATCCTTTAAATCCTCTAAATTGTGAGATCGAGCCACCATGGATCCAACTTGTCGTTCCACTTGCCTAGGTAAACAGTGCACGTGTACCCGACCATCCACATGACGTTAAAGAAAATGGGATTTATGAGACCAGAAGAGCTTCTTCCATTGGTCCAGTTCCAATGCTCACATGCCTAATGTGGGCACTTCTGGTGGTGGACAGGGGATAGCATGGGCACTCCAACGGGTCTATGACTAAGCAGCCCCATACGCAACAGGGTGTGGTTGTGTGTTGTGACATATTACTCCCGCAACCATCATTTAAAGATTTCTGTGACTTGCGCCACAGTAGCCCTTAGCCGGTTGGGACCAGATGGGATAGCCTCTGTTGTTCATGCTCATCAACAAGTCTTGAGTGCCCAACACCCTGTCTGCATCCAGTATGTTCGGTACGAGAACTGTGTGTGGTCATAATATGTATTGTGTATTCTGAGGTATTCCACTGGTTTGTAGTGATGCACTCTGACTTTAGCATATCCTATGGGAAAAGCCTTTACACTCTTATTGAAAGTCCTTCACACTGATTGGATCAAGAACATCAGCAACTAATAGATCCATGTTGTGGATCTATTAGTTGTTGTAAATCTATGTAGGAGAAACACCAGGAAAAAACAAATGAAGAACCATTTATCAGTTAGTTGTACACTACTGCTGTTAGGGCTGCACAAGTAGCGTTAACATTAACACGTGTTTCCGCAATTATTAAGTACTGCAATGAAAGAACAAATCAAATTACCTTTGAATGCGCAGCGCCAGAGTGATGGAATTATGGTGATTAACTTCCCTGCGCTGTAAAGTGAGTAACTTAACCATTTGGGTAAACAGCCAATTACAAAATACATGTGAGCAGCTCAAAAGCTCTATCTTTGATAATCAAATCTGTAGAAATGTTTTAAAACATGATTATTCAGCTGATATGTCTACTGTCACAACAAACCTGCATCATAATTAGGAGCTTTTTTAAGGAATTAAATATATATGTAATATATATAATAGTTGACTCTTCTTGGTCTTAAAACTGCTGGTAGTGCTATTTTTCCCCCTAGGAGATTAAATCTCCCTGTCTAATTTAATGAATAGAAACCCACTTAAAAGGAGTTGACATAAAGTTGGCTTGGTTACAGGCCGACTGCCAACAAACTCCTGGTTTGTTGGTGATGTGAATGTTGTGGAAGTTGGTCTTGGAGATTTGTGTAGATGTTGTACAGTCCTGCAGGCAGCAGCAGACGCACTGTGAACATGGATCGTTCAGTAACTATGAGAGAGATGCCTTCAGCGAGATTAAACCATCACCCAAAATTTATGTGCCAGTGTGTGTCTGTGAGTGCAAAAAGGTCACGTTTCACAAGACGTGCCTGGCTAGAGGCAAGACTAAAGAAAGGGCAAGTGAGAGAAAGAGAGAGAGATGCTTTGGCTGGTATCTGTGGGGCTTTTGTGTCAGTTTCAAGCATTGCGTCACTAGTATGATGCCTCCGCTGCAGATCTTCATGAAAGCAATGACAGAGCCTAAACGCTAGAGAGCCTTCACTTGTTTTTGGCTCTTTGAATTACTGTAACACAAGAGTTCACTCTTCTAATGACTTTTCTATGTGACACAAGCCAGGTTTCCATCAAGCTGTTGAATTAAGTTCCAGTGAATAACTTAAATGTTCCAAATCTTTAATTAGGCATTTTTTCCATTAGCTAGTATAAAAGAAAAAACTATTTATGTCACATTTGTAAGAACACTTCTGAGAAATGTGGAGCAAGACTACAGACAGATCTTAAATGTTAACAATAATAATAATTACTCATTGCGGTTTTGTTAAGTTTATGTTCATATTCAGTATGATAGACATACTATTCAGTATGACAGACAGACAGACTGTTTAGTACAGCAGACTATTCAGTATGACAGACTATTCAGTACAGCAGACTATTCAGTATGACAGACAGACTATTCAGTACAGCAGACTATTCAATATGACAGACTATTCAGTACAACAGACAATTCACTATTCAGTACAACAGACTATTCAGTATGACAGACTATTCAGTATGACAGACTATTCAGTACAACAGACTATTCAGTATGACAGATTATTCAGTACAGCAGACTATTCAATATGACAGACTATTTAGTATGACAGACAGACTATTCAGGTCAGCAGACTATTCAGTATGACAGACAGACTATTCAGTATGACAGACTATTGAGTATGACAGACTTTTCAGTATGACTGAAAGACTATTCAATCCGAACGACAATTTAGTATGATAGACGGACTATTCAGTATGATGGATGGACTATTTAATACGACAGACGGACTATTCAGTATGAAAACGGACTATTTAGTACAATACACAGCCTATTCAGTATGACAGACTATTCATAGAGACACTACTCAGTACATCAGACGGACTACTCAGTACATCAGATGGAATACTCTGTACGATAGACAGACTATTCAGTATGATTCATAGACTATTTTGTATAATAGACTATTCAGTAACACAGACTACTTAGTATGACAGAGCATTTAGTGAAATAGACAGACTATTCAATACAACAGACTATTTAGTATGATGGACCATTCAGGAGGACAGACAGACTATTCACAATTTTTTTCACAGTTGTTTCTCTTCATCTGACCTTTTTTTAGTGTTTTTAGGTCAGACTTCTATCTTTTTTTGCCGCTCTTTATAAATGTGTATTTGGGCCTGTACTGTGTGTAACTGTGCGCACTTGGTGTACTTGCATCTGCGTGGTGTTTGTGTGTGTGTGTGCGTGTGTGTGTTCAGTGACTCGCCCCCCGCTCCTCTGTGTCAGGCCTGTCTTGAGAAAGGCTCCATCCTTGCCGCCTCCTCGGGAAAGGTTGCCAAGGGTGACCTGGCTGCTGGCCGAGGGCGTTCCCACGGCGACCGGCGGCGATTTGTGACGTTCGGGGGGGTTACTGAAGTGGAGAGTGTTTCCTGGAAAGAGGGAGAGGAGCAGGAGGATGAGGAGGAGGAAGAGGAGAGGAGGAAAGAGAGAGAGAGGGATGAGTCAGAGACACTTCGACGCCTCCTCTCCACGGCAACAGTTGCCATGCCCACCATTGGGGTGAGCTCAGGGCTCACAGCAGAGAGAGCGGTAGGCAGGTAGGGAGAGCAAGAGTAGGGGATACACACTATACAAAACAAACACACACACGCACGCAGTTCAGACACACATAGATACAATGAGCACAAACACAAAAGCACATTCAAACACATGAAAAGCACAAAATGCACAAACGCTTTGCTTGCTGAATGGCCTGGTTCTCCTCTCCCCTCCAGTGGTGGCCGTGATTTGTAGCTCGGCGGCTGAAAGATTTGGCAAACACTTTCTCACTAACTCACTCTTGAAGTTTGCACGAAAATGAACCAGCAGCTTTGATAGCCGAACAGACCAGCCCCAGTGTTGCTGAATATGGAACTTGACCAGAACCCGCTCGCATGCACTAACATATATGGATTATCGCAGATGGTTTTCGGGAGGAAATCTGAATGCAACAATAGACTATACTCTAGTTTGTGAGAGTGCACAAAATGTAAATTACCGTGCAAAAACCACCCTTCATTTATTGACAATCAAAACAGCAGTTTAATTCTTTTTTAGTGTCAGAAAACAAACAAAAGCTATAACGAGTACATTTTTTTTTCAGTATTTTATGCTTCCACTCTTTGCTCTTAATAGAATTTCATTCTTTTCAGGAGACTCTGCAGGGATATTTTCCACACCTTAGAAGTTGGTTGTATTTTCTACTTTTCATGATCCAAGTGATCTCAAACACATTCAGTGAACACCAGCACCTTTTGCATGTTTGCAAATTTTCTTTTTTTTTGTGGTTTACCGGGTCTTGCAAAGTTGTTAGGTGTCTCATTTTCTCGAAATCATATATATTATTTTCCTCAGACTTTCCCCTGGATTAAGTGGATTCTCTTATAATACATAAGATGTAATATCTTCTAATAACCATTATCTTATATCATTAATCTTATATCTAAATATCTCCTGAAAAAAATTAATAACTTGTACTTAAATAAATGAAAGTTGGTCTTTAATTTTTGCACAGTACTACGTAGAAATTTTTCTTCAAATGAAAACAAAGACGACATTTTAAAAAAGTCTGCAATAGAAAACAATCCCAAGCCCTTCCTGATACCAAAATCAGTCCAAACATGGCTCCGATAACTGAAATTTTGTCGGGCCGCATTGGGCCTAGTTTGGCTAGCAGACCTCTACCTCTCACACACATGCTTACTGAACAGCCTGAACTAATTATTGTTATTATTGTAGGCAGGTGTGATTGGGGCACTATTATTATTACTACCCCAACAACTCCACAGTGATTGGGCTCATCTGCTTAGTCTGGTATGTTTCAAGGTACACTAAGATAAGCCATCCATGACACCTAGGCCAAATATTAAGCAAATGTAGTTAGAATGTAAACATTTTTGAGTCGTTGGATGTTAAGAAGTTGTAAAAAACTTGAAGATTCACATTTCTTTACAGTGGTGGTGATTGGAACCAGGAGATTGCAATGTCTACAATGCAAATGGTAATGGTAAAATAGAGATAAATCTGAAGAAACACTTTTTCGTTGGCGACTATTTTGCCTTACAACATCCTGGATGTACCTCTCCACCGTTAATGGATTAAAAAAATGTTTTAGGCCTCAAAACTATACCCAGTGTCTTGAGCATCAGGGAGAGATCTCGAACCATTTCTTATAATAACTTTCTGTTTTCTAACTCTACAAGTTTCTTGAGAGTGGAGCATTTCACATCAAACCAATCTGAATGGCTTTGTTTCCATTCTCACATAGCAATGCTCTTTGGGTCAAACATCTGCCGTAAACTTTGTCCTAACATAACAGTGCGAAACCCATAGATGTAACCAGAAACAATTAGTATGTTTGTGGTGGCCATTGTTTTGAAATGCTTAGCCATCATCTAATCTGCAGTTGAACAGTCTGTGGTGGTAGGAACCAGATGTCTTATAAGTTTAAAGCCTCTAAAATCTACATTACAGAAAGTTATTCAATGAAATTAATACTAATGCACTGCCTGCTGCCTGAAACATTGGTTTATAGTAGTTTTAAAATATATGGCTATATTTGCTTTGTAGATACCATGACCCCTGCTTTCTATCACTGCTATTTAAAAAAATCTGAGCCAGTAAGTACAGTGCAACATTTCACTTCAAACCACTCTGAACATCTTTGTTTACATCTCAAAGATTGTCCTATGCAGAAATTTTGAAAATCAAGGTCAGGTGTGCTGAAGCAGAGAGTAGCCAGAACAGTGCAAGACTGTAGCCCCCCGGGGTGGGATTTTGAAACACGCAAGATTTTACCTTTGAATAATAGGAAAACACTTTTCTGATGACTAACATGAACTTGAAGTACATTTTGATGGGTCAATACTTGGAAACATACTTGTTTGATTTTTACTGCTCACTAACTAAAACCATTGGGTTAATGCAGGAAGAAGCCAGATATCTGACATTATTGCTAGGAATCCAACTAACATATTGCAATCATCCAACTTTGCTAACTGGCTTCAAATCATCTTTACAATTTGGAGCATGTATTACTGATGGTAAAAGGTAAAGTTAGCAAGTTAGCTACCTAGCTAGCTAGATACCTTATGTCAGTTTGGGTAAACTGTATTGCATTATGTCTTCCATAAGAAAATTATCTTGCTCCATGACCAGTGTGCCTGAGAAGTCGTATTTCACTAATGCTAGCCAGCAGCATCGATGTATTTATTAGCCTATAGCTAGTGAGGATTTGTTGAGTATCGTAGGGATTTCCAAAGGATGTATGACATATTTGGATAAGGAATGCTGGGTATTGTTGTGAGAAAACATTTATGGACAAAATCATGAGCTTTGGCTCCCAAATGGCACAATCATCTAAGTGTTGCCAGGAGCTGAGTCCCCGATGATACCACACCACATCCCAGCCATGGCCGGGAGTCCAGGACAGCAGAGTTCTAGCCACTGCACAGAATTGGCAGTTAGCGTTCTCCTCCAAGCATGTACAGCTGTCCAGTGACATTGCGTTAGCAGCAGGTTAAAAAAGATGCAGTGGTTGACTTAATGCTAGCCTTCCAGCTTTGTGGCATTCAGGACACTTAGTGGGTGGGAAAAAATGTTTGGTAAGAAAGAAAAACAAAAAAAACAATTCGGTCAAAATGCTGAGACTGTCATATACAACACTCTGCTACAGAATACTTTATGTTCTGTTGGTATTTACATTCTGTTCATGTAAGCAATGACGGTGTTACTTAGTGTACCTTTAAGGGCTGATGTTGGCGCATCTGCGAATCAGTTGGACTAATATCTTCATAGTCTTGCAGATTTAGAGTAGTGATGCATTATGCAGTACTGGCAGCTGCTTGACTGTAAGCTTTTGTACATGAGTATGTGATTTAATGGCATTTAATGTGAGTTTGGCTTGAGAGTTTGAGAGAGTAAGAGAGCATCTGTGGGTGAATTAAAGTGTACACATGTGATCTACGTATGTGTGTTACCTGACCATGTCTGAATATGAATATTTACGGTGCTGCACAAAAATCTAATTTATTTAATTTCTGATCAAAACAGGCATTAAATTCAAGTTATTTCGGTATTTCTGAGATTAGATAAAAGACAATTTACTTGCTTAAGGAAGGGGAAAAGTAAAGGAAAATGAGTGAAAAAACAGTTTCCAAAACTGGTATTAAAATTACTAAGAGATTTACAAAAAATGGGACTTCTATGAAAAACGTAAAGCAAAAAAAAAATGAAAGTTAATAAATGCAACAGCTGGACAAAATCGTTGAGACCTCTATGTAATTTTCTGATAAACATATCTGCTTTTTTCTGACTCTGAAAACTGAATACATTCTACTATCGGCCAGTTTGATTGGAAATTAAATAAATGAAGGGTAGTGACTTTTGCGCAGTGCTGCATAACTGTTGGTTGCGCTTGGCTGAAATGCATCTTGCTTTGCTTTTATCTGCGTCATCTCTTTCTTTGTCTCTTCTTGTATTCATTATTTCTCTTCTGCCTCTATCACTCCCCCCACACACACTCAGTGGAAGTGCGAATGCAGCCCCTGCCCTGAACTCATCCTCAGAGTCTCCACAACCTTTGACCTCTGTCTCAAAACGCTCCTCAGCCTTGGCTGAGCGGGAGGCTCTGGAGTTGAGGCTGGCTGAGAAAGCAAGGGATGAGAAGGAATACGAGGAAAATGAAGAGGAGGAGGAGAAGGACAGGCAGCCGGACATAGAGAAAGATGACATGATGGCGCGAAGGACAGGAGCATTTCAGAAGGGAATGAGCGGGACGTCCTATAACCAGTTTCTGCCGCCGCCAGGCTCCAAGAGGGACACGGGTGGTTTTGGGTCGAAAGAAAGGAGTACAGATCCTCTTATGCTGGAGAAAAACATAAAGACAAAGCGGTTCAAGTTTGGACAGAGGTGGGCGTATTGAAAATGAGTGGTGGCCTCACACTTGTGTGTGTTGAATGCGTGTCTAATACGAGTTGCAGTGCATTATTATACACTAACCGGAGCTGTAGACCTGTATTATTGCCAGATGGGAGGGGCATGTTTGTGAAATGGTCCCAGACTGGCTTGTGGGAGTTTTTGTCCAAGGTGTGATGGAGTAGGAATAGATAAAATATTGCTTCCTCTTGCCCCAAATATAGCTGATAAGTCATATTTGGTGCCCAACATTTCCTTCTTTGTTAGGCACTTTACTGCCTAACAATGCCCAGTCTGGGAGCAGCATACTGTTGGAAGCAGTGTAGCACCAGCTAGGGCAGCGGAGGTTAAGTGCCTTGCCTAAGGGCACAACTAGATAACATGCTAAAATGCTAATTAATGAGGTATAAGCTTTCATTACCTGTTATCTACATTAGCCTTATAACTCTTGTGTAAAACCAAGGAAAGGATGGTTTGGACACCAAACTGTCCTTGGCTGGCAGACTTTTAGGGTAAGAGGAAAATTGAGTCAGTTTGTTTTTTCCCCAAACTATGCCTGCGGGGTGTGTTGCCGTTGTGTGTAAGACTACGCTTATTACTGAGTGCTCTTTTAACAGAGTTGATCCGGTAAACCTGGAACCAAAGCTGTCAGCATCGGCAGCCACAGTTGCTCTAAACAAACCAGCCATTATCAGTTCAACTTCAGCCCACAGTGCAGTTCGCAGTGACTGTTCTGGTTTTCATGATGATGATGAGCATGATTATGAAAGTCCCCTGCCTGACCTGGAAAAGGATGACATGCTCACGAGGAGAGCAGGAGTACATCAAAAGCAGAGTGGGAGTCCTTTTAATGTGTTTCTGCCTAAACCTGGAGCTGTCAAAAACAAAGCCATCACTGGTAGTGCACAATACCAATCCAGCGAGAAAGAGAAGACAAACACCCAGGACAGGTTAGGCCCTCTGAGGAATGCAGTGCGCATGAATGTTTGCTAAATGTTTTGTCCAAAATAGGAGAGTTTGTCGGAATTAATGTTTTTAAATATCATCGCCTTGGATACTAATTTTGTGCTGTGCCTTTGAGATTGAGATTAATATTGAGCATAAGATTGAGATTGAGTGTGACTGTAGATCTGAAATTTTTGTGTGCAGTTCTTTCTTGTATAAATACAGTATTTATGGTAACACTTTATTTGGATGGCTGTAGATGCTTTGTAAATACTCAGTTTATCTTTAAGCAACATTCAACTAAATATCCATTAAATGCAGCTAAACTTTAAGTTGAGTGTTACTTGGATGGTCCACTGTAGATGCTTTGTAAATGCTCAGTCTGTCTTTAAGTAACATTCAACTAAATTTCCAGTAAAAACACCTGAACTTCAAGTTCAGTGTGAAAGAGTTTATTAAATCTATCCCTAACCCCAACCCTAACCCTAACCCTAACCTCAAAGCAAAAACCTACACCTACTCCTAACCCTAACCCTCACCATAATGTTGTTGATAATCAGCTAATTATCACCAGAAAGGTGGTTAATGATTTAAGGATCTGTAGAGCATCTACAGGGGACCATCCAAACAAAGGGTGACCGTATTTATACCTAAAATTATATACCTGATCAGCCGAGAAATGTTTAGTAGAGATGGTACAATATCACTTTTTCTGATACTGAGATGTTGAAAACTTCAGTATTCACCATCTTCAGTATTGGCTGATACCAAAGCTGCTCTGATACTTTTCTTTAAAAACTTTAAAAACTGAACTTTACTAAGCTTCAAAGCAGTTTACATAATTAGGCTATCATACTCAAACTACTCGATGCCTGTAAGATGCCTGCTCATGTTTTAGTGATGACTAATCTGTGCTGTGAAAAGAAAAAGTTGCCTGGTCCTTGTTTTTCTTAAATACTTTTGCTAATTGTTGCTGTCTCCTGTATTTGTTTGCTTTATTTGGTAGACATTGAGTTTACTTTTGCTTGGACATTAGGCTGCCCACACTGTGGCCCATCAGCTTTGACAGTGAGAGAGTAAAATTGACCAGTGATGGTTTATTTGTAAGAACTCTGAGAATTAAAGCTGCACTAATCCTTGTTATAATGTATGCCCTTGTTATAATTTATACCACTCACACTTTTACTTGGACATCCCTGCTTTTCTACACATTGTGTCTTTTTTTTGCATTCCAACTATTTCTACAGCAGTTTTCCATTATCTTGCTGGCGCCTCCAAGTGCATTACTTTTAGAATACTAGCAAAAGTTTGAACACTCCCAGTAAAATTACATGTTTAGCAGATTTTCTACAGGGTTAAGGGTTAAAAATGGTATTTTGTTCTGCACATTTTTGTGCACAATTTAAGAAAAAAGATAAAATGTGCCATAATTTTTACACAGCCAACATTTTATGTTCTATTTTCCCCAATATGTTACATTCAGGCAATAAATAGCTATTTAAATAGCTTTAAAATGTGCAGAGGTGTGTTCTCTTAAACATGTAATTTGGCCAGGGGGCCAAACTTTTGCATATGGCTGTAATTGACCTACCCATGCTCCACCCACAAATGCATTCAACAGTCTGTCAACTAATTTTCCTTTGATTGCTGTATTTTATGGCCAAAATATCCAGTTGAGGAACAGAAGTGCCATTCGTCTTTTGTTTTCCGCTAAGTTAAGGACAGCTTACTTTTAAAGTTATCGTTTTGTCCCCTTGAGTGTCTTTAATGCATTCTAGGACAACGTGCAGTTTACAGCTGTCACTACAGCCCAGTGAATCTGAGAGTTTGGCAGGAACAGGAATGTTATGAGCATAAACCTCTCAAAAATGCACAGTGCTTCAAATCACATATGAACAGGTCTTCATAAGCACTGCTTGAGAAAGCCCTGTTTTATTGTTGAGGTTTGTGTCCATAAAATCGAAATTGAGAATTGCAGTTGCAGCTAACAGACTCGCTGTAACTGGTTTACACTTTATATTCTCTGCAACTGGATCCATACTGCGTTTACTAGAGTATGCTGAGTAGGTCAGCAGAAAGCTAAACGGAAAACAGGATGATTGATAACTTGGAGTTCAAGCATTCACAGAAGTTGTTATGTAAGAACTGGGACATACAAAGTAAAGAATATCTTACATGCTTATAACAAACATAGATTTAATACTTTACTTAAACTATGGCTGACATCAAAATCCAACATAACCTTATCATATGAGGAGCAGTAGTAGAAAAAGAATGTTTTTTATTTATTCCATTTCATTTCTATCGTGGTAAGATGTTATTAGTGTTAAACATATTTACCATGTATAAACTTCTGCTCATAAACGACTCAAAGCATTAATGAGATAAGAAATAATACTGCGTTCACATGTTCTGCGCCTCATAGCGATAACCAATGGCAGCATTAAACCATGCCAACGTTGCCATGGTGATAGCATTACCAACAGCTCTGTGCTCCTTTATTTTTGTTGTGTAACACCAGGTTTGTCTGGAATTCAGCAGCAAGAAATTTGGCATCCATGTCTCCCAAAATAATCAATATCCTGTTTAATTGGCCACTATAGTCGATGCAAAAGTTGGGAAAATTGAACTCTTGGTGGATTGTTCTGCTCACGGAAAGAATCCGTTTTTTCATCGTCAACTGTCAACATTGTGAACGCAGCATAAGGTGGACAGGATTTTTGCCTACGTTCTATAAAGCTTGTCAGACCTCACAAGTTGCTAAACTACTGCGGCTAAAGAACACATTTGTGGGCGGAGCATGGATGGATGAAATGCTCATTTGTATGAATTCAGACTATACAGGCATGAAAAATGGAACACTGCTCACACGCTCCCTTACAAGTCCACTCCTCTTTCGCTTTAGTAACCATGGAAACCCTCTCAGCTGCACCCCTAGCGCTGTGACCCCACCCTCAGCAGACGTTGAGAACACGCCCAAGATGCTGGACAGGCAGGAGGCGTGCACTGAGGGTGTGATGGGTGGGAAAAGTGATATTTTAGGTGGGGCCACAGGCAAAACTCCCTCCCCCAAACCTGACCCCAACCCACGGCGTCCGTTTTGGCTGGAAGACGATGATCTCCCCCCAACGTGAGAAACTGTTTAACCCCCTTAGAAATGTACACACGTGCACACACTCACAGTGTATTCCTGTCTTTGTGGGGATTCAAGTCATTGAAAGTAGTTTGATGGTTCATTGTAGAGAAACTTGCTCAGATTTCTTTACAGTGGTGGTGATAGGAACCAGCATTTGTGTCTTCAGTGAAAATGTAGCCGTTTTATTTACAATCCAAAATGACAGTGAAACATGTATGTCATTTGAGTTTTATATCATTGCTGTCCAAAAAAATCTCAATTTTTTTTGCATTTTTTATATTTTACATGTAATTCAAGCACAGTAGTTGTCCTTTACATTGTGTAAAATCTTCTGATGAATGGACCAACAGAAATACTCCAAAAGTATTTGGCATGAAATTGTAACCATTCAGCAGAATCCAGACGCGTGAGGATAAAACTGACAAGATGGGTTTTGTTAACACGACAAAAACGTAGTCAAAACACAGGCGTGGGTCAAAACCAAGAAGTGCAAAAAGATCACGAAAGTGATCATATCATGAGGCGAACAAAACAATAGGGCAAGACAAAAGACGAGGTCAAAAAGGCAGGCAAAAATAGTCAAAACACAGATCCAAAATACCAGGCAGCAATACAAAAGGGAACAGGCAAAAGGCAGAGTCAAAAAGGAAGCAAAGGTCAAAAACAGAATCATGCAATCAGAAATAACGCTCAGTATGTCTCTTGGGTAATGGAGTCCACGTCGGACTCCGATTCCGAAGGGAAGTTCCTAGTCACGTGATCTCCCAAGGGAGCTTGGGAAATGAAGTCCATTTCAGTCTGCGAGTTCGTACAAGGCGTGACAGACATCTTTTTACATGAACTTTAAGAATATTTTTTTCCTTCTCCTGTAATTTTTTTTTTGGACACCAATAATATGTAATGTTGATAATGGAAAAATAGAGGTAAAATGGTTTGCATTCTATTTTGCTTTACATTGCCATGCATGTACCTTTTCGCCATGAATAGCTTTTGCAAATGACATTTCTCGGAACCATATCTCAGAACTAGCGTGAAACGATGTCTCAGGCATCAGGCAATGAATTTGTAACCATGTCATGTAACAGCATCCTGTCAGTTAGCATTTAAAGCCTTTATACTTTTTGGACATCTGGATCACCACCAGTGTGAACTATTCTGAGTAGGTGGGTTTCTCTACAATGGAGCATTTCACATCAAATCAAAGAGATCTCAAGATCAAAAGGGAAATACTTATCCCTTTTAGCCCTTTTACTTTTTGTCTTAAGCACTGCATCCATCATTTTTTCAAATGCCGACACATTTTTATGTTTTCCATCATTTGGCACCCACAAATTGAATTATGTTCCCTCATATACACAGACATTGACTTTTTCCCTCTTTGTTAGGGATCTTAAAACTGTCTGATCACTAGCAGCTGCCATTCAAACAATGCATAGTTCTCTCAATTGTCATGTTGCAATATGTCCTTTACCACACTAAAAGGTTTTGCATTTGCTTGGTATGTGAAATAGCGTAATTCTCTAAACAGTCATCAAAGTCCACCAGTCTTTTTATATACAGCTTCAGTTCCAGTACATCTTTCACTGGTAACCAAATGTGCAGCCATGTCCATGTACGTTTTCTCTGGATGACTTTGAGGACTGATTTTAGAATTGTGTGTAAATCTACTAAAGTGCATTGGACTGGGAAAATGTGGTCCGGTGTTGTGTGCTGATTGCTAATGCACAGAATCAGTTTTGTCCACAGGTTTGTTGTGTATATTTATTCTGTATTTAATGGGTTTCCACCCAGAAACACCCAAGAAAAGACTGTGCTATGAAATGTTAACACAATTATTTAACAATGTTGGTTTTTAATAGCTATAGACCTTATAACCCTGCAGAGGTCTTCAAGTCTGGACCCTGAATCCAGTTTACAGTCCTGGATTATGTATTCACTGGGAGTTAGTTAAACGGTTGATGTAACAGATTGGCGACTTGGCCACCGAAAATGTTTGGGCAAAAATGGTAAAAATAAAAAATGGTCCTAAAATTTTGGATAGGCCTGTGAAAAAGTGAGTAGGCCAACTTAGACAAAATTTCCAGTGTTGAAATTCCACAGTGTCATGACATCAGACTAAAGCTTCTTCCTGACAACAAAGGAGTCATCACCCTATCTATGCCGCCTTATGGTGATACAAAAACAATAGCAATCAGAATACTGGACAACATCGCAACACCTTTCACTATGTGTCCGCTCACCACAGGCACAACTTTTGCCCGATGAACCCGACATAGCTGAAATAAAATCAGACAGCTGAGATGCATAAAGAAGAGGAAAAACAACACAGAAAACCTTAAAACCTTAACCTAAAGCATACTGCCATGGTGGGCATGAAAACATGTTTATGGACCATTTATGTCTAAGAAATGTTTGCGCTGACATTTTGACACAGCCCATTTCAGCTTTTGTAGTAAAAGAGCATTGTAAGTATCAAACTCACAGAAAACTGACAACGTTGACACTTTTTAAATTTGTTTTTAGCTTTGGCTGCGTAGAAAACAACAAACTCTATGGCATTGAGTCTCAACTTTACAGCTCTACATCTTTTGACTGCAACTGAAGCTTCAAATTAAAAACTGATAATGAATTGAAGAGCTTTGTAGAGAGCATGGTTTGATTTGCCGTGATACAATGACAGAACCCACTAAATGTAAATCAAATTCTGTTATCTTAAAAAAGCAGTTCAATAAATATTCTCACCCCATTTGATTGTATAGGCCTGTAGTCAATATCTTGGTAAGCCCAGGCCCACCGATCACCCTGCTTTTGATTTTCAGCTGAAGGCAAAAAGTTTTGATCAGAGAAAAGCAAAGGTTACCTACAAGGACCTACAATGAAGTGTCAAAATGTAAGACATAACAAACTATTTATGGTAATGAAAATGACTAATGGAGATGAAAAATGCTGTTGCGTTCGCTTTCAACTTCTCCAGTACAGGCTTGATAGCACTTACAGCAAAAAATGACAAAAACCAGGGCCAACGTGCAAATTATGACTAAAAATATGATGAAATTCATTTTCTTAGATGGTCAATCATTCTCTGTTGTCGACGACATGGAATTTCATGTTATATGCTGATACATATTATTAAAATTTTCGTTCATTTATGGTCATATGTAAAAGTTTGGGGGTCCTAGATTCATGTTCTATATGAAAATAAGTTAACTCATCTTGTACAGAGCACACACTTTTGCACATTTAATGCCCTGTTATTGGTTATTTGCTACATGTAACATACTAAAACCATAAAATGTGGTCTGTGCAAAAGTAATGGCACATTTTATATTTTATTTTATTTTTATTATATATTTTTTTCCAATATATTAAACTCAGCACATAAAATAATAAAATAGAAATTGTGCGCTAAAGTTTGCAAAAAGATGTCATATTTAAGTTTGTCCCCTGTGGAGGACAAAACATGTAATTTAACCAGAAGTGTTCACACAAGAAGTTTTTATTTTTTTTAAGTATTTATTGTCAGCTTTTATTGGTTTAGTTTTTTGGCCCAGTGTGTCAGCCAGGAATTTTCATTTTCATTTCTACCAAAGATTACAAAATCCAAGACTGGGAGCTGGATTCAAGGTCTGATTTGAGGGGTCAATGCATGATATTTAAATGGTTCTTGACCTTTGGGTAGATATTGTGGATTGAAATCTATAAAGCCTACTGTAAAATAGATTTACAGTAGGTTTTATAGCTGGGTATTTATTGAGGACAGACCAAGTGGCACAAAAGAACAATTTTGTGTAGTAGCCAAATAACCTGCAACATTTCTACTTGCAGCAACATTTTTTTTTCATAGATTTTCCCTTTCTTCATAGAAGAGGCTGGTTGGCCTGTTATATTTCATCATGTATTGATTTTGCTCTTCATATCAAAGGCTCACAAATCTTTCTTTCATTTTTTTTTATCAATTTTTAACATTCTAGATTCAGTCACAAGGCTGCTATTGTTTCTGATGAAACAGAGTAAGTTTGTCTTTCTCTCTGCCGTCGGCTCTCTCGATATTTCTCTTTCCAACCTGCGCTGCCCCTGAACTGAGCTTTTGCATGTACTTTTTTCTTTAAGCACAGGCACTCTTTGCATAACTTCTACACACATGCATGCAAACAGATATGTTTTAGCCTCTTGGGTTGAATTTGTTGTGGTGGAACCCTACTTCTACGTTTAACTCCACCACCATTACACAACAGTACTGAGAATGTCTCTGAAAAGCATTTTTTATGGTTTATGGCTGGTTTACTGACTTGGAGTGAGTTTCCCAGAAGTTTCACACTCTTAAGGTCACCTTATGAGTTGGCAAGAGCATTCAAATAATAGTATTATTAGTAGAATTAGAAGCATTCTATTGATTTTTAAAGATCTATTTGTTGAATTTTAATGTGTAAACAAAGTCATACAAATAAATCAAGCAATTTTTTGTCAGTTGTTGAAGTGAAGGTGCACTGGCCATATATTTTCATTACCGATTCCATTTTCTTTACAGTCAAATTGGCCAATGACCCTTTCTTTTTGTATTTCATATTTGTGGAAAGTGAAAAGTCAGTTGCTATTTAAATAACATGAATTAAATAAGTTGCTGCATCTGAAGTTAGAAACAATTGGCTATTTAACCATTCATGCATAATAATATTAAATTAGAAATTATGTCAATATAATATATTCATATTAACATAAGTTTATATTCAAAAAATTGGCCGAAAGCCGATCACTTGCTTGGAGCAAAAATGTGCTCATTCTGATCCTGGCCATGTTTTAGCCTGCAAATTTTAAGTTTTGGGTAAAAATGAAAATGAACAACATATCAGTAATCTTTGTTTCCTGTTGTTTTCAAAAACACTCCTACTTTGGATGGTCTTGGTTTGGTGGCTCTTTTGGGAAACTGGACCCCTTCATTCTTGCCTTTCCTTATTTAATCTATTTCTCTGAGAACTGTGTGTGTTGTGCCATTGCTAATATTAATTTCATTCTGTCATTTATTTTAATCCCATATTTTGACTTTCTGGATCTACTTTTTTCTCAAGCATTTTTCTTTCTTCATTAAAAAACTTCAAGCCTCGGGTGATGGTGTTGCTTTGGATATGGGCTTCTCCTTCTTTTCTGATTTTTGCACATACGTTGAATTCTGCTTGTAATGTTTGGGTTTTGCTTGATGTTTGTAGGAGCGTCAGTTTGATTGACATGCGTGATGAGGAGGAAGTGGACACCCTGTCACCACACAGCCAATCACGGCACGAGAGGCTGCACAACCAATACAACAAGCTGAGGGAGGAGGAGGACCAGTGGCAGGATGTGAGTCTCACACACGAACACACACAGCAGTATGAAGTAACATATCATCGCTGTCAGAACAAAACCTTGTATTTCCAAAACGGTAACATTACAGGAAAAGAAAAAGATTATTAACTTTAAATGGAAGCGAATGTAACAAGATTTTTTTTTCAGTAATATTGTAATATTAGAGTATTTCTGTCCTGTAGTTTTTAGACTATACAAAAAAATGCAAAAAATGACAAAAGTGGAGATACAGCGTTCGACTGTAGATTAACATGCATAAATGCAGTGCTTCTTGTTGTAAACATTAGCATAGAGATGCAAACACACAAACCATCCTATACATGATTCTATTATCGCTTTACCTTTGTCCGCCCTTCATGAAAAAGTCCCTTTTTTTGTCATGATGGTCTAAGAGTGGAGGAGGTAGCCCACATCGGCCCTGAGGTGTGCCTCGGGCCGTTAATGCAATCTCGTTCGATAAGTGTGGAGCAAGGACACCCTGGAAGTGCCATTATGCTGATTTTTTGGCAGATATACAGGCAGGTTTCAAATCAAATGAGAGACCCTGAATAAATGAGTTGCTTCCAGGTGTGAAACATTTAAGCGATTACATCCTACCAAGCTTTGTCTCGTATAAAAATTCGGAATTCAGCCCAGCTGACCTTGATTTTGAATCAAAAATGGCGCTCCTCAACTCGCCAGTGTTTCAGTAAGAACATCTGATGTCATGAGAGACAGTAAGGAGTGATATTGCAGAAGGATTTCCCGATAATTTAGGTGCTTTATATGTGGATGAATCCCTGTTTTAGGAGTTTGGCATACACATAATCTAGTCCAAATTATTTGATATGTGGGTACATTCTTCAAAAATTAGTTTGATTGACGATGAAATGTTGGTTTATGATGGTTTCCAAGTGCCTGTTTACATCTTGCATTAACATGTTTTTTGCATCTGGATCATATCCGGATAAATTTTGTCTGGATACCATTTACACTTTCCGGACTTTATTTTACATGTCAAAAAAATGTGTTCCTGGTGTAGCCAGATGAGATCCCTATATAAAAAGCATCAGTAATAAGCACTTGGCTTGTGGAAAGCTTCAGTCTTGTGTATCCTCAGTCTTTCTTTTCCTTGTTTATACTGTTGTGACTCATTGTGACATGATTCAGTATGGATATACTTCATATCATATATATATATATATATATATACAATTATTACATATATATATATATATATATTCAATACTGCCGTTATGTCTTGCTCTAAAATTAAAGTCACCCAGTAGGAGGATCCTTATAAAGTGAGTGTGATGAAGCACCTCAACTAATGACTGGTAGAAGCACTCAGAAATGGTAATGTTGGCACATAGTGGGGAATACATTTCTCGAAAGTGACATCCAGGAGATTTTTTCACTTTCCATGTTGTCAGTTTAAGTGAACTATTTTATAGTATTCTATCCAGAAATGTATGAATGGCCAATTAGAATCTTTTCTAGGCATATGATCGTTGGGATGAGCATTGTGATCCTCAAATAGTCACAAAGGCTAGTAAGTCTCCATTGCTAGCAGTCATTGCCTTCAATGTAGTTGAGTAATGTTGTGGCCAATTCCCATCCACTATCTAGGTCTCCCTTACTCACTCACCGCTACCAAGCCAGGAGGATGAGGGCTCGTGCATGCATCCTCTGAGACACATGGAGTTCCATTGAGTCTTTCAAACTATGACAAATGCAAAGTCATCAGCTCAACATGCTTGAAGCAGAGTGCTAACAGACACATTGGCTCGCATCCCCCTGAGTGAGGGAAAGGTCTGTCCTACCCACCCAGAGAGAACAATGGCTGTGGCTGTGGTATCACCGGGATCGAACTTGCAGTTTCCCAGAGACAAGTCCAACAATTAGTCATTGCTCCAGTTGAGAAGTATTGCCCTGCGCCGCACTTTTAAGGCTCATTTATAAACGTTAAATGCGTATATGGACATGGACAGAGCATTCTGTCCGTACTCTGTGTTCATTTTGTCTATATTTGTGCACGTTTTCTGAAAGCTTACAGATACAGATGAAATCTCCCAGATATGTGTCGCCAATACAATGCTTTTCTATCCAGGTGTGCTCCCTTAGCCTTAGCCTCCTCAGATTCACTTCTTGGCAGTGGACTGAGTGATGACTGATGAATGATTTGTATCTCCTTTACTCCTGCTCTATATAAGCTGTATATCACACTTTTGTGTGTTTGTGTGTAGGACCTGGCTCGGTGGAAGAATCGAAGACGGAGTGCCTCTCAAGATCTGATCAAGAAGGAGGAGGAGAGGAAGATGATGGAAAAACTGATGATGTCAGAGGGAGATGCCCATCGCAGGAAGAGCATCAAAACTTACAAAGAGATTGTGGAGGAGAAGTGAGGAGATATTTCTGAATCCAGCAAACCCTCCCTGACTTTATTAACTTCATTAACCCTCAATACTTGTAATTAATTAGCTCAGTCTCACACAAACCTTCAATCAAAGTAAATTTAGTCTAAGAGAACAAAAGAACTTCTCAAAAAATATTCCACATTATTTCACAGTAATTGGCACCCCTGCATGTAGTACTTGTGCAACCACTGTGCCACCATAACAGCAATGAGTAAGAGAATTTACAGCAAACCCCACAGGTTTATAGTAAGGTTTAGGTCAGAGGACTGGGATGGCCATGTCTAAAGCTTGACTCATTTTTGTGTGATTTTGACTTATGTTCTAGATCACTGTCTTGCTGGAGGATCCAACCCTGATCCTTTTTGGCAGAGACAGATTTTCACTTTAAATCTCTTTGTACTTCATACTTAGCATGTGTCCTAACAAGGTTCCCGAGGCCTTTGGAGGGAAAAAAACTTCTCTGAAACATCACAGATCCTCCACTATTTTACCTTTGAGTATTTGTTGTCAAAAATTATTATTGGGTCATTCTACAGAAACGTCCACTTTTTTATCTATCCGTAGGAGTCACTGGTGTTACCAATCCTCATTGGTGTTACACATAAGAAAGGTAACACCAGAGACAGTAACACCAGTGACATTTATGATGAAAAACGCATTTTACAAAATGGCTGCTACAGAGCACCAAACCACATGTTATCAGTCATGGAATATCAACTAAAATGTGTAATTTAATCCATTTGTATTCTATTTTTTTACAATTACCTAAGAATAAAGTAGGTCATACCAGTGACGTCAACTAAAAGCTTCATATGAAATCATGAGCTAAATGAGAAAATTTCTGATAACTGAAAAGACGCAGTGGACTTACCATGGGATTTTTTCATAGATCTTAAGAAAATAGGTAAAAGGAAGTGAAGTGATGTCATCAGTGTGATTTTTATTTCAAAATAAGAGATTTTTTGTTACATGGTAACACCAGTGATATAACTTCTGGAGACAACAATTTGCATTATATATTTTATAATATTTATTTGGCATTTGTTTCTTTATGTCATTTAATTTATATATTCCATAGTCATGTATAGATTATTGTACTTAAAATTGCTGAAAAATTACTATGGGAACAAGCACTTTTGTGGTACTCAGAATTCTACATAAACGATTTAAAAACCAATATTGCAAAATTGATTGATCAAGAAGGTGTAATTGTTAAAATAACATTGTTTTATTTGAAAATGTAAAAAAATTGTAGGGACACAAACACGGACGTTTCTGTAGACTGACCTATTATTAAATATTTTTGTCCCATTTGACTATAGATCCTGGTGTCAGTCAAGGTTCCAGCAACATCTAGCAAACTCCACGTGCTTGTTTTTGCGGTTTGAAAGAAAGGCTTTCTTCTTGCATGCCTTCCACATAGTTTGTTGACATGGAAATGACATCTGCCTGTAGTTTTGGAGACTTGGTGACCTCAAAATGTTCTTCTGCAAATCTCCAACCATGATCCTTGGATCCTTAAAAAAAAGCATAAGCGAACATGTTTTGCATTTTGTTCATAAGAATGGCTATGGATGCCTATAATCATGACCATGTAATCAATGATCATGTGTTTTTGTTAAAGAATTATTTTTGATATTTTTTGATATGAATGATTATTTTGATATATTTTTGCCAAATTTACTTCAAGTAAGTGTTAGAGTTTTTGATATATTTTTACTATGAGATTGAGCTAATTAACCACAAAGATTTTTACCCATCATTATTAAAGCTGCCAATAATTATGGACTGTACATAAAGTATATTTGGTGTTAATATTTTTTTCAAAAAGCTTTATTGTTGTGGTACTGAAAATGGGGAAATGTATATCGATATGCATTGATGAGCCAAAACATATGACCACTCACAGATGAAGCAAATAGCGTTGATAATCCCATAAAAGTGTTGCATGTCAATGTCTGAGATATTTTAGATGATAAGTGAACAGTTGGTTCTATGGGTCAACTTGTTGGATGTAGGAGAAATGGATAGGCATGCAGACCTAAGCAAGTTTCACTAGGACCAAATCATTATGGCCAGACAACTGAGGCAGAGCATCTCTGAAACGACTAGGCTTGTGGGGTTCCCCCGGTCAGCAGTAGTAATTACCTACATTGGTCTGGGGAGGGACCAAGAGTGCTCATGCTAAACCCTGTTCACTGTCAAAAGCTTATAATGTCAGAACTGGACCTTGGAGCAATGGAATAAGGTTGCCTGGTCTGATGAGTCTCTACATCACATGGACAGCCGGGTACAGGAGTATTGGAGCCCAATACCGCAGGGCACCTAGAGAGGTCTTGAAGAGTCAATGCCTTGGAGCTGTTTTGGTGGAGGCCCAACAGGCGGGTGTTCATAGTGTTTTGGCTCGTCAGTGTAGGTTGGGGCTTCAGTGGTGCATTAGAGTGTATTTCATCATATATTTTGATTTTAATTTATTTTGAGTTCTTTGTGCTTTGCTCTAATTCTTTGTGAATATACTTTGAAATAATACTGAAAGATTTAATCATATTTCATTCTCCCTCTGTCCCACTCCCTAACTTTACAACTGCTCTAGGGAGCGTCGAGAGCAGGAGCTTCACGAGCTGTACTGTAAAGCCTCAACTCCAGAAGAGAAGGCAGCTGTGCTGCAGCGCTATGCGCTTCGCTTTACTATCAGTGATGCTATACTAGAGAAACTACAACTCCCAAAACTCCCTCCTGCTACAACAGCAGTGGTCACGTCTTCTCCCGCTCACCCTGGGCAACAAGCCACGTATGCATTAAATGAAGAAGCAGAAGTTTCAGCGGCTCTGCCGTCCACCCAAACACAAACACTGCCCACCGTCCAGCCCCACCAGCAGACACCTCGGTGTTCATCCCACAGTCGTCCCAAAACACCAGAGCTATCACCCACTCGTAGCTCGAAAACCCCAGAAGTCCCACTCTCGCCCACCCGGGTACCCCCTCCACCCTCCAAACCTGTGCCACTATTGACCCCAAAGCCTTACAGCCAGCCTAAACTCAATCAAGCCTTTTACAAGCCCCTCAAAGTAAGTCAGAGAACACTCTTCTGTTTACTTAAACATTTTTGCTACCATGCCCATCTAAAACAGAAGGCTCACAGTGAATGATAGTTCAGTAATAAATCTAATTTACACAATTTCCCCTTTTATCCTGAATCTTTGGTTTTGCACTGGGGCTGCAAGGCTAATGTAGCTAACAAGTAATGTGAGTTTACACCCCACCTTTAGTTTACTTTACCATTTTCCAGCATTTTTTTATTCCTTAGAATTAAACAAGGTGGTTTTTGTTACTGTGCCATTAAGACTAATATGAAGGTGTTGCTAAGCCATTGCTGTGGTATCCGAAGTGTTTGCTAAGGTGTTGCTAGGCTATTGCAGTGCTATCCCAGGTGGTTGCTAAAGTGATGCTAGGTTGATGCCATCGTATTGAAAGTGGTTGCTAAATCCCATACCCCATATAATATTTGCCATTATTGGGTATTTTCCTTAATTTTATAGCAACATGCAGATCAGACTAAGAATTTTAGTGACAGAAGTTTTGACCTTCTGATGTTGGTCTCCCCACTTGTCAACGGCATAATAATTACTTAGAAATCCAGTTTTAAATGATTGCATACATGCCATTACACATCTGTAGAATATTCCAGGTTACCATGGTTACTAAACATGTTTGCTGATGTGCACGTTTGTGTTCTGCCTTAGACTGATGGATTGGTGCGTGTGAATGGGGAATGCAGTGTAGAGGAAACAAAAGAGACTCCAGCACCAGTACAACCGGTCTCCTTCTCCCCATTGCCGCCAAAACTAGCAGCCAAAAGTCCTCAACAAGAACCAGAAATCTCACCAGCAAGTGAGACCACAGCACAAGATCACACTCAGACCTTATCCAGTGTCTTCAGCCAGGAGACAGAAAAGGCAAATGAAGAGATAAAGAGCCCCAGTAGTCCGCAGGAAAAGAGTAGCGAGGAGGAGACCTCCACAACACTCACAAATTCAGAACTAACAGGTTTGAGGCTTCCCTTTTCTCTCTCTGAGTTAAAGCAATATGTCTTCCCCTTGCCTCAAAGAGATCACGTTTTGTGTCTGATGTTCGCTTCTTTATTTTTGTAATGGAGCACCAAGTCTAATGTAACTAATGGATATTTGAATTTTGTTCCAATTTTATAGATAACAGTGTGTCATACAGTGTGTCTTCATTTTTGCCATTTTCATTTTTTGACATAATTTGAAAAAGCCAGTTGCCCTTTTTGTTGCGTCACAATTTCATGATGAATGGACCAACAGAAATGGTCCAAAATTACTTGGAAACAATTATTTTTCCTTTTACTTCATTAAAAGTTGGATGTTTTTACTTGTCGTATAAAGCTACCCTTTGGAAGATATGAGGTTTTGTTCTGACAGCAGTGATAAGCAAGTTTATATGAGATAATACCTGGACATTGTTTGTGGCAAGTGTATGATAACTTAGGCATGCAGTTTGCGCAATGCTAATTGGTAGAGTATGAGATTCTTTTTTTTTTAGTGACAAACTTTAAAAAAAAAAAATGGTGTTGCTAGATTGGGCATTTTCCCGCCAAACTGGGCAGGTTTTGGTTGGATTGGGTGTAGGAAAAACAGTGCTTTGGTGGGAAGACAAAATGTTGGCTGGTTTATTATGATATTAGCAGGTGTTCTAAAAAGTAAAAAAAAATAAATTGCATTTCTTAATAGGTCCAACTTCTCCCCGCATCCAATCAACATTCTTCACACTCTTATGAGCTTGTTGGGCATCCCTTTCGAAAACCATGGGTATTTATATGGAGTTTTGCTATTTGCTGCTATAAAAGCCTTCACTCTTCTGAGAAAGCTTTCCACAATGTTTTGGAGTGTGTCCGTAGGAATTAGTGCCTGTTCATTAAAAAGAGAAGAGAGTTGGACGAGAAGGCCTGGCTCACAATCAACGTTCCATTTTTATCCCAAAGGCATTCAGTGGGGTTGAGGTCAGAACTCTGTGCAGGCCACTGGAGTTTCTCCACACCAAACTCATCAAAATAGGACTTGTGCTTTATTATTACTATTATTATTATTATTATTATGCTTTATGGAGCTCACTTTGTGCACAGGGGCACAGTCATGGTGGAATAGGAAAGGGTCTTCCCCAAACTGTACCCACAAAGCTGGAAGGATATAGTTTTCTAAAATGTCTTTGTAGGGTTGTAGCATTAAGATTTCCCTTCACTGGAGCTAAGGGGCCCAAACCCTGAAAAACAGCCCAGGTTGTTTTTCCATTTTCTCAGCTGATGTTTGACAGTGAAGATGCATGAAAAGCTATGATAAAAGCTTTTGGTTGACACGAAAGACCAGCAAATGTAGTGACAAATTAAAAATGTATCTGCAAATTCTTAAAGGTAAGGCATCAGTGGTTAGCATACCCCGCAGCATATTTCCAGACAATGTTGGCTTTATTATTATTCTTGCATTATGTATAAAATGCTGACACTTTACTGTTTTTGAGACTTTTGAGTGGTGGGGGGAAAACTGTAAATTTAGGCTGAAATATCACTAAGATTACATGTTACAGGATACAGTGGTTAGTATTGTTGCTAATGAAATTTTCTTTTCTTCCCCCGGAGTTTTGCATTTACAAAGTGTTTATAGGCCATAAGTGAGTTCAGTCCAGCATGAAAGAGTCATTAGCCTATGCTTGTTTTCATTTGCAGAAGAGAAGCAAACAGTCTCTAATTCAGCGGTGAAGCGAAACTGTATCATCAAGACAACAATTGTGACCGAACTTACGCAGACACATTCACTTACCACAACAGACATGTCCAGTGCTGACCAGGTATGGCCAATGTTGTACTGATCGGTGTACATGGATGTATCGAATACTCATGTACAGAACATGTTTTATTCATTAGAGGTGTAACTCTCTGACCCCACAATGATTATATACAGTTACTATTTTTCAGGAAATTATTTAAATTTGATAAAAATAGTATTATATGTATTATATATAATTCATATAATACATTATAGCCAACTTCACCATGATGTATAATCATTTTAGCATTCAGTCCTCTCAATAGCCTTTCAGATGTCTTTGTAGTAACACCATAGTGGGAAATGGTGACTAGGCTTTTCCTTTGTGACTTGGCTTTTCATTTCCAGTAACAGTGGCTGATTCACTGGCCAAGTTATTCATGCCTTTAAAATAGATGATAATTCTGAGGAATTTTGTGGCTTTTCACACACTGTCCCAACTTTTTTTGGAATTGGGTTTGTAGTATTTTATTTTGTCATTTTAGAGCAAGTACATCAGCTCTTTATTATGTCTGTTCTTATATTCTGCTGCAAGGTAAGCTAATGCTTAGTTAGCCTAGCCAAGAAACCTAGTGAAATTGTGGTTTTTTGATCATTAGAGCTTCTTTCTGTGGGACGAATCTTTAATTTATGTAAAAGAACACAAGTAAAAAGTTCTGTATTATAGCCTTCTGAAAAGACATTTTTTTCTGGGTAAAAGATGCTAACTGTTAATGCTAACACAGCTAAATGCTGTTGTGATGTATCGCTGCGTTCTTAGTACATCTTAAAGGTGATTGATTCAGTTGCAGGTAAACAAGTTTCAGACAACTTTAAAAAATTGTTCGTTCTGGAAGTCTGAAATGCAAAATCACGCATCATTACTCTTTTGATTCACACTTTCACAAATGTAGCCTGCTTTTGTATTTTGCTAGTAAAACTCAGCGAATTCTCCTTTTAAATCCTGTTCACCTCCATTTACCAATAATGTTATTGACATCTATCCTAACAATGTGATCTAACAGAGGCATACAAAGTAAATCATTTGAAATTAGTAACATCCTCTAAATTTGGTTATTGAATAAAAACCTCACAACCTTGCCTTGTCGTAACTATGAAGGAGTAGCTTGTGGGTGTAGCATGGATGAGTAATTTCTGCTTCATTTATTCTAAGAAAGGAAATGATATGAAATGATATGTTCCCCCCTTAGTTGAGCACTTCAGATGGTTCAGCTCAGAAGTCTTGTGATGAGGTTTCCTCTACAGACTCCGGAAGGGCTGAAGGTGCCTCGTATTCGCTCTCCCTGACAGGTAACAAAACTACACTACCTATGCCTATTTGCTTTGGATTAAAAGACACAGCTAAAGGACAGAATACTATAGTCAAAGACTGTAAGGTCAGAGACAGAAGCTGCATTCCAAAAGCTAGGCTGTGGTCCAGGTGGGCAGTCATCCAAAGCTGTTCCGATCAGAAATATCCTTTGAATACAGAAATTCTGACCATTTTCCCTCCCGTTCTTCTGTTGCCCGTAATCCCTTGTGTAAACATTGATTTTTTGCAGAACTTAAAAAGTTCAGTTACTTTTTGCCTTTTGTTAAAATTTCATTATGAATTTACACTGAAAAAAAAAATCTTGTTACATTAACTTCCATTGCAAGTCAAAAGGTCTTTTCTTCTCCTAGGAAGCTACAGTTTTGAAGATACAAGGTTTTCTTACTATTTACACTACATGTGTCTGTTTAAGAGAGTGTAAATTGAATGCAGGGTGTGAAGTGCTTCTGGTTTTGGTGAATTTTGCCGTTTTTAGCTAGCAACACGGCATGTTATTGCAAAGAATTGTATTGCTTGCCACATATTACATCATTCACATCAACGTTTTGCTAGCCAGCTTCTCATTCTCAGAAAACAGCATATTCTTCATTAAATTTTATGCTTCAGCTACTTTCTGATGACAGTTCCATTTTGCATTATGGAGCCTTCAAAGCTCCCACCTTTCTCAGCTACAGCCCAGCTTTTAGACCACAGCTAGAGAGTAGTCAGAAACAGACAGTGACATCTTCTAAATGTGTTTAACCTTTTTATTAAACTCCTTTCTATATTAGCACATTACTTTGGAATTTCCTTTCGATTCCCACTGAAGTCCCCATTTCTTTTTTTGGTTGTTTTGTTTGTTTGCTCTTCCTGCTTCTGGCCCTGTTTCTTTGTCCTCTCTCTATCTGTCTTCCTTTGTTTTCTGCCCTCTTTTCTCTCTGGCTGCTTTTGGTGTGTGTCTTTATTTACGTATGTGTGTCAGAACCCTCACACTCCTCCAGTAGCTCTAGGTTACGCTGGGAGTTCTTCGCTCCAACAGGTAAAAGTGACCGACTGCACAGGGGTCCTTCACCCTAGTGGCGCTTTTGGGTCAGGGTGGAGTATGAGGTCACACTCATCCACCTGCCACTCTCTCGCTTCTTGTTCTTCGTCAGTGGGTCCAGTCCTTGTTGATCTGTCCATCCTGAGAAGTTGCACATTCAAACCTGCTGAGGGCACTATGAGACTGGATGTTTGTTACAGCTGCTCTTCAGTCTCACCACTTAAAGGGGAATTGCATAGTTCCAATTTTTCACAATCTCTACAAAGTTTAATGGTTAAGATGGAAAACTCATGCAGAGCAGGGGACGCAGGAAGTGGGGGTGCTGAGGGTGCAGCCAAATGTTTTTTAAACTTAACAATAATCATCTACCATAATAATGTTTTTATCCACAATTATATCTCCCGCTCTGTGTACATTTCAGTGATAAATCTCAACACAGACTGTGAACGTGACACAATAAATAGTCACACCACATGTCAACAATCTGATTGGTTCCCCCTCAGTTCATTTGCATAAAGTTTGTCCAGAACGAGACAGCAGAAAGATGACGTGTGTCAGCGATTTGATGTGGCATTTATATGCTTCTGTTATCATCTCTCACTATTAAGTAAGAGAAGACTGTACATCACTTTACATCCTGTTATTATAGCTCCGTAAGACATTCTGTTCGAAGTAAATTAGTGAAATAAAGAAATAAATAAACAATCAATCATGACAACATCAGTCATGTCACATATACGCAGTTTAAAATTTAAGCACCCCCAACTTACAACACTTTCCTGCGTCCCTGATTTAGAGTGGTTTGGTGCGAAATGCTCTTTTCTAGAGAAACTTTCAAGGTCAGGATTGTTTACAATGGTGATGATAGGAACCAGATGTCTGAAGCATTTAATGCCTCTGAAGGCCCCCTTCACAGAAAGTTATTACATCAAATGGGTTTGAATACACTGCCTGATGCTTGTTTTATGATAGGTTTGAGAAAGCTTTTGACCTAAAACATTTTTTTAAACCCATGGTGCATACAAGGGGTTGTAGGGCAAAACAGTCCCCAAAGAATCCTCATCTTTTTCAAATTTACCAATTTTACACAAAAACAAACAGAAGACATATATATAGGTTCACTGGTGGGTTTGGATAGTAAATAAAATGGCTACACACTCAAAAAAGGCATGTTAATAATGTTATTTGAAGTGGTTCCATTCAGCTGTGTTAACTAGCTTTTAAGATACTTGATAATAGATGAGAGTAATATGCATATACGAAATTCAAGCAAACCATACTATGGTGATTTGAGTCAGGTCTAATAACTGGACTGATTTTTATATGTATTACCCAAAAATGAAATGTTAGATTTATTTAAAAATGTTACCTGATGTGGTTCTACTCAAATGTGTTAAATAGTTTTTAAGATGCTCAGTTGAGCATAAAAAACAAAGCTGAGTTTTCAGATAATAGGTGATGGACAGTAAATCTGGCACACTTTATTTCATAGAAATATCATTTCATATTTTGGGGGGGGTTGTGTTGTATCACTGCCTCTGCAAAGAATTCTCAGTCTGTAAGTTTCTCTACAACAAACCATTTCACATCAAAATACTCTGCCTTTGTTTACAGCTAAACAATTGAGTTATGCAGAAATCATGAAAAGGTCCCCTTTAAGTAGATATTCATTTTTAAACAGAAACGTGCTCCATTTTGTCCTCACTAGGCTTCTATAGTAAGAACGAATAAAGTGTAAAGAGTAAGAAGAATAAAGTGTAAATCATATGTCAATGGGTGATTTAAAGAGAATTTGCGTTGATGTTAACCTGTACTTTTTGCAGCATTCTCCTTGCTAGTTTAGGTTTTAAACCAGTTCATAATTCTCAAAATGCTCAGTATTAGCACATTGGTTTCGTTCGTTGTCATGTCCTGTTTTGTTTCTATGGTCTTTTATGTCTTATTGGCTGTGTTGTCACCTAGGCTTGGGCGATTGTGACAATGTTATCAATGCAAGCTCAGTATGTTTGCATAAACTGCATAGGAGCAAATAGCTGTTTGGATGATTATGAGGAGATTATTTTCTTCAGTTTATTTTTTACCAGTTGTTTGACTTTCTTCCTTTTCATAAACAGTTAATTTCTGCAAATGTTGAATTATGAAATAGCACTATTTTTAATAGGAACCCTGACTGTTAAGACGTGTCAGTCTCAATATGGTGCACATTGTTCAATTACGTTCAATGGTCACTTCATTTACTCTATTTCCATGCTCATTGTCCATTTTATCAATCCACTTACCATATAGGTGCACTTTGTAGTTCTACAATTACAGACTATAGTCAATGTGTTTCTTTGAATACCTTGTTAGCCCCCTTTCACCCTGTTCTTCAGTGGTCAGGACCCCCACAGGACCACCCCAGGGCAGGTATTATTTGGGTGGTGGATCATTCTCAGCACTGCAGTGACACTGATGTGGTGGAAAAGCTTTATTTATGAATAAAAATAGACAATATTCCTCTACTACTAGCCATTTTTGGCCTGAAACATCCAATGTTTAATCTCTTTCTTGCCTACTGAGTAAAGAACAGCGAGCTCAATATCTAATTTAACTCAAATATATTGCTGAACCTTTCCTATGTTAGCTGAAGCTTGACATTACCCAAAAGAAAAACACTATATTGTCTTATTTTCTGTAGGACTGAGTACCAGTGCAACCATACAGAGCTCAAAAATAGTTTGGTGACACTTTCTAAATATAGTTTACAGTTTCAACATGATCCCAGTAGTTAACTAAAAACTTAGGTAATGTAGTAAAAGTACTGAAATATTAGCAGGATAGACAATAGTATCTTCTTCTTTATGTAAGTCAGTATTTAGTATTTTATTTAGTATTTTGTTGCATATCTATGACCATTTGAAGTCTTCTAGACATGGAGTGCAGGAGAGCACAACTATCAGAGTGGTCAGCAATCTTTCTCACAAAAGTTTCATTACCAACAAACAATATTTTTGATTAATTAAGCACAATTTTCTAACTTTCAGAATATTAATGAAATGTAGAGTCAGATGTGTTGGATGGTGCATTGCAGATCTCTGGTTTGAATGTGTCTGCATTTGGATTAGTGTGCCAATACTTGTTTTGATGTAAAATGGAGGGGGTAGGAGAATATTTTCTAGCTTGCTTTTGTTCAGTTGAACCCAAAGTATCGATTGAAATGTCATAATACAGCTGAAATTATTTATTTCTGAAGATACTGAAGTGCAGTTGCAACTATACATCAATAAATGAACCAATTTACAAAACAAGTGTCCAAAAACACTTGCGCACTGTATGACATCGGCACAGGGCGACCATAGAGGCCTGCTCACAAACATTTTGCCTATTTGCCTTGTTTTTTGGTGTATATATCATAGTTTAATAGTATTGGACATACACATTATTTTAAGGCATGTAAGTCTTAACGGTCAGGGTTCCCTTTAAATATGGCACATGCATTTTGCTTGTCTGATTTGTCTATTTGTATGTTATTGAAACATACTCATTGAAACTATTCAGCGCCACCATGTGGCCCAAATTGAACTATGCAGATTTTGAAAGTCAACCTGAAATCAAAACCTTTTTACCTTGTTAATATGAGGATGCATCCACATCTATTTCACCACTCATCTCTCCTAAATCTCCAATTAATCCCTCTACTTGAAACAGAATGTGGTCATTGTCCAATTGTCCAGTTGTCCAGTGTCTAATTCATGTGCTATCAAGAGTAATTCTTTATTAGCATACTGGAGAAAGAAACATATAAACAAACAAATAAGTAAATGTAGAATTACATAAGTGCATAAATAAATAAAATAAGAATGTATAACTTTTATGCTTTTATGTCCCAATTTTATTTATTCATTTTTTCTTTTCTGCTACTCATTTATTTCTTTCTAAATTGATTTATTTTTATTTATTTGGGGTTTTTTTTTACGTATTTTGTCCTTCAAACTCAATGGTGTACTTCAGTGGGTGTACCATTTACACATCCAGCCACTATAAATGATTTTGTTTACATCTCGACAAATGAACTATGCCAGAATTTTCAAAAATTGGAGGAACTATAAAGAACTTTATAGAAGACTGATCAGCGATTTTGAAAAATAAGTATCGCCCAACCCTTGGGATTAATAAAGCATCATGCCCTATCATAGCTCAGCAAAAGGCTTTGTGCTTGAGTGAGCATACTGCAGATACTTCAGTAGTCATTAAGACTCTCTCTAAATACTCTCTTTTCATTTTTTGTCTTCTCCAGAGGGACTTGACTTTACCAGCGAATGTGTAAGTACCTTCAAGCTACCGTTATTACCCTCCCATCACTTCTTTGGTTTTTCTTTCCTTTTCTGTGTGTTTCTTTGTTTCCTTTACACTGAGTAGAACTGCTGCAAGCTGTCCTGTTACTTCCTTCTTCCTCCCTCTTTCCTTTTTCGCTGTGTATGTGTTTGTGGGTACTTTTGTGTGTCAGATCGAAACCCCGATTTTAAACCTCGCAAAGCGGGTTGATCACTGGACTTGGGATCCTAATGAAGAGCGTAAACGGCAGGAGAGGTGGCAGCAAGAGCAGGAGCGCCTGCTACAGGTACACAATGACAGCTGCAGGTGTGCCGCATGAACATCCACAGCTACAGCAACCAGCACTACCTATGCTGAACTTCCATATTCTGTAAGAAGAAGCTTGCATTGATTGTATCTATAGTATTTGCAAAACCCAGAAGAGGATTGCCACAGCTATATTATTGACATGCTGTCTACTATGTGCCTATCCAGTCCATGTTGGGCTCAGTTTTATCCATAGCTTTAAAGGGAAATTCTGCTGATTTTTCTAAAGAAATGCATAATTAAGTTAATTGAGTAGATGTAAGTGTTCATTACGCTTGTATAAGACAAATGACTCGAGAATTTCAGATGTGAAACATTTAATGCCATTATTGCAAAAGAAGCTGCTGTGTGCTTACCCATACGTACCATAGGTTTATCTATTTGATGTGCAGTTCTGTTACTGCTATTTTGGACAATAAAAATATGCTTAAAGAATAAATAAGAGTGAAGGGGCATTCCAGTGTTGGCAGGTGCTTGAGGATCAGGTATTGGTACTCTGTACTGGCAGAAACTTGGAACTCAGGTATTCGTACTTGGTATCAGCAGTTATTTGAGGATTAGATATCAGTACTAATACTACTTTTACCAAATTAAAATATTTAAAAAGTAAGTTTACAAAGTTTATAGGCATCTATGGAGTAGATGGGTTAAATGATACTTAAAGATCAAGTATCAATTCTCTGTATCAGCAGATACTTGAGGATCAGTTATCAGTACTCAGCTATCAGTACTCTGTATCAAAAGATACTTAAGGATCAGGATCAGTCCTTTTTTATCAACAGATATTCAAAGGTCAGATATTAGTATTAGGTATCGACAGATACTTGATACTTGAGGATTAAATACAACTGCTTCTATTAAATAAAAATATTTTTAAAAGTTTGCAGAGTTTATAGGCATCGATGGAGTAGTTAGGTTAAAGGATACTTGAGAATCAGGTATCGGTACTCTATATTGAAAGAGAAAATTAAGGATCAGGTATCGGTCCATGGTATTGGTCCACCGTGTCGACAGACACTTGTGGATCGGGTATGAGTCTTCTGTATCAGCAGATACTTGATGATCAGATGTCGGTCCTCTGTATTGGCAGATACTTGAGGATCAAATACTGGTCCTCTGTACCGGAAGATATTTGAGGATCAGGTATCAGTCCTCTGTATCAGAAAATACTTGAGGATCAGGTATTGGTCCTCTGTATCTGAGGAACAGGTTTCAGTCCTTGGTATCGGTCCTTTGTATTGACAGATACTTGAGGATCAGGTATCGGTCCTTTGTATAGGAAAGTACTTGAGGGTCACGTATCAGCCCTTGGAATCGGTCCTTTGTATCGACAGATACCTGAAGATCAGGTATTGGTCCTCTGTATTGGCAGATACTTGAGGGTCAGGTATCAGTCCACTGTATCAGCAGTACTTGGCAGATTTTGCTTAGTTGTTCAGTTGCTAAATAATTTCAGACAGGCTTGCTTATGTGGTTTCTGACCCTGTATGGCATGATGTTATTTATTAAAATCCTAAAAACAATCACCGCAGTCGCAGTCTTATTTAAAGAGTAAATCACTCTTTAAATAAGTTCTAGTGGCAGGCGTATGTTTTTTTTCAACCTATCATAAAACACTATAGATACATTTTAACTGTCTAAATAGTTTGTTAACTAATGTAACAGTAAAGACTCTATGAGCGCTGCTGTCATCAGACATCAGCTGTCACTTTAGTTGACCAGTGCAAGTCAACAGTATGCTGGCGGCAACACATATGATTTCAGGCAAATACTTTGCTAAACACTGCTACAGTGCAAAGGGCTAGTACTGGATCTTATACTTAGTCAGCATTTTCAGCTTGGGGTCCAGGGGTCCACCCCACTGTCCTTGTGGTCCCTTCACCTGTTCACTTGTTTCGTGCACTTGTCTACAGTATAGTTGAGCAACTGTAGCAGCATTAGTCCTCTGTCAGGTTTCCATCTTCATCAGGTCTTTTCATCTTTTCTTATGTCACATATTATTTTCAGTTTTCTGCATCCTTCTGGCCCCAGACGGTGACCCTTGATCTCTATGTTAATCTCCACCTCTCTGTTTCTCTGTAGGAGAAGTATCAGCGGGAACAGGAGAGGCTGAAGAAGGAGTGGGAGAAAGCTCAGAAGGAAGTGGAGGAGGAGGAGAGGAAACACAATGAGGAGGTGGGCCATCATACCAAGCTTCCATTGCTCACAGAGCCATTAGCTTAAGAATCTGATCCTCCCTGTCTTGTATATTTTAGTGTTTTCCTGCTGTAACGTGCACACTTCAGCTCAGAACGGAAATGTTAATGAGCTCAGGTGTGTTCAAGCAGAAAAAACACAAAAGAGATATAGGAGAGGATTCTTCAGTACCAGGATTGCTCTACAGTGGTGATGTTAACATGCTCATCTGACAAGTAATCAATTCCTAATAGGAACGACGGATTCTGGAAGAGACCGTGGCACCGTTGACTCCACGTGCACCAGCTCTGTCTTCTCCCAGTGTGACAGAAGACCCGCCGCTTTCCACACCTCCTCACGACACCGTTGTTCTCTCATTGGCTGACTGGGAGAAAAAACAGGAAAAGCTGGAGAAAGAGACAAAGAAAAATGGGGTAGAACACAGGTAACAGAATAAATTCAGAAACTGAGAATATGTGTGGGGTGTACACGTCTCCAATGGTATCATCCCTGGAGGACAAAAAGACATCATTAACTTATAATAGAAGTTAATATATAGACATTTTTTCCAAGTAATTTGGACCATTTCAATTGGTCTGTTCATTACGAAATTTTAACAGAGAGAGAGATCTTGTCGCTGTTGTGCAGTGGGCTCCAAAAGTCTGAGATCACTAGTAAAAGTGCTTCTATTCTGCATTCTTTTTCGATGTTATACAAATTGTTTAATTACAAATGATTATCAGCATAACAATTTGAGTGAAAATTACAATTTTCAAAATTTTTACATGAATCTTTTTTTTTAGTATTTGGTATGTCCCCCTGTTTGCTTTAATGAAACTGGCATGGATTCCACAAGTTTGCACAAAAGCTTTTGTTCAGTAGATAAAATCCACTTAAGAGTCTTCTGAACATGTGCTTCAGTAGAAGGGATAAGACTATAAAAAATCAGACCTTTTGGTACAAAAGCATTAACGTGGTCAGTGTCATGGATTTGCCTAAATTTTTATGTTTTTTGTAAGTGCCATATTTTTTTAAACAGTAATATTACTTGTATCCACAAACAGCTCTGATCACACAGAAGCAATCGCACCTGCACAGCAGAACGGCCAGAGAGCAGAACATCAGGAGAGTCAAACAGCTACACCACAACTACAGTTCATACAGGGTAACATTCCCCATCCATTTATGTTCAAAGAAACAAAATCTCAATCATACAACTACAAAACCAGATCCAAAAAAAGGTGGGACAGTAGGAAAATCCTTGCAAATCATTTTTGACCTGTATTCAGTTAAAACCAGTACAAAAACAAAACATATAATGTTTCAGTTAATTAACAGTATTGTTTCATATATATATATATATATATATATATATATATGTGCATCACTCCATCTCCTGCTTTAGCCCAGAGAAGTCAGTGGCATTTCTGGATGTTGTTGATATATAGCTTCTGCTTTGCATTGTAGAGTCTTAACTTTTTACATTTAAATTTACAGCACTTGGCAGACACTCTTATTCATTAGGTGAAGGCAGTGTTAGTGTTTACATTACTCCTGTCCCAACCTTTTTAGAATATGTTGCAGGCATTGTATTGTATATGGAGTTAGCGTATAATTAAAAAATCAGTGAAGTTAATTAGTTAATAAATAATATTAAATATCTCTTTTTTGTGCTGTTTTTTAAATACCTGTGAAATAGAGTTTACAAATCACTGCTTTCTGTTTTTGTTTTATTTATTGTCCCAACTATTTTCTGAAGACTGATTTAACACGGTGTTTGGTAATGCAGATGGGACTTGGAGCTCCAAATCTGAGAGCAAACCAGAATGGAAAAAAACTGCCTCACTGGACAGGAATCTGAGCCCTTCACAGACACAGCCTCCCAGGATGAGGAGGTGCGTGTTTGATATGCATGTGCTCATATGCATATATATCTGTTTGTTCTCAGCTTGGCTCTGTTATGTTCAGCAGCATTTGAATGTTTCTTTATTTTTAGCGCATTGAAATATTTTATGTTTGCTTTATTGTCTTGCAAATCACTGCTGTAGTTGTATACAAAAGTATGTTTGAACGCTCCGGTCAAATTTCATGTTATGTTGATTTTCTAGATGAGAATATGTTTACGCAACATCTACAGAGAACACACTTAAAAGTCACATTTTTCTACCAATTTCAGTGCACAACCTCTATTTGCTGAGTTTAACATATTGGCCCAAAAATATCTATAAAATATAAAATGTCCCATAACTTTTGCAAACGCCACATTTTATGTGCTAGTTTATTTTGCAATATGTTAATTTTAGAAAGAAAAAGAAACAGTAACTGTGCATTAAAATGTGCAGAGGTGTGTTCTCTACAAAGAACATGTAATTTGACCAGAGGTGCCCAATTTTTGTATACAACTGCAGGATAAATCATATTTCCCCATTCATAAAAGTACATTTGTCAAATTTCATGTTTTTTATATGTTAAGTGCATTTTCATAAATATTAAGGATGCTATTAATATTAAGATGGTCCTCACTATTATACTCAATGTGAAGAAAAGGGGAAAAAATAAAGCACGCAAGCAAGCAAACGAAACCACTCTGCTTGCTTTCTCATGTTTGTGTTTGTTATGTGTATGCGTGTGTGCGTGGTCAGGACTGGCTCGTATGAAAACATTTTAGGGACGCACCCATCTCAATCACTTCCATCATCACAAGACACACCGCCCCCATCACCAAGCAGGTAGGATCTCTTACACGTTTTAGTATTACATGAATACATACATTTTTTTATATTTGAGAAAATGTAAATTATCTGTGAAATATTACAATTACAACACAAGTGGGATTCCCCACTGCTACTAGTAGGAGTCCTTGGATAAGACTCCCAACGATCATCTTACCATTTTATTTTGCTTTAGATAAGAGCTAAATAAGCTCTCTGGACAAGAAAAAAATGAGTTGCATGTATCATTTCTTCTCTGATTCTTAACATTCATATTTATATTAACATTTATATTCAAATCACATAATGATTTTGCTTGGAGTTAATGCTTTAACATCTACATTTTTCTTAAATTTAATGTCACCTATGGGATTCGTGTGATTTTATGTACAAAATTAATTTTTTTACATGTCCACTTCGCAACCTCCCTTTATCCCTTAGAATTAAATAGACTTTTTTGTTACTGTGGCTTTAAGACCCATGTACACTATATGGCCAAAAGTATGTTGACACCCTTCCTAATTAGAGGTGAGGTGTCTCGATAACACCTGTCACTAACAGGTGTATAAAATCAAGCACATAATCATGAATATCCAAGAAAACACTGGCAGCAGAATAGACTGTACTGAAGAGTTTGGTCACTTTAAATGTAGCACTGTCATATGTTCCTGTCTACTAATCCTGTTAAGTAACAATTACACCAGTCTCTCGAGAGTTCCTGTCCATTGTAGCCTAAATTTCCACTAACTTTGTGTGTTCAGAACACACTAACAGTCCTGTTTCCAGGATGACAACTGTAGGGTGTCTCAGACTGGTGTAATCTTTACCTGACAGGATTGATGCTGTCTTGATTGTGCATCAATGTCTTTCCACTGTGCTTATGTTCAGTAATTTGTGTATTTATCATGTGCCACGTTCTTGTAGCACCCAGATTTCCCATTGAGGATCAATAAAGTACATCTGTCTATTGTGGGTGTAACAACTAGGAATGTATAAACACAATGTATTGTATTGTAGTGTATAATATTGTATGCTGTTGAGGCTAACATATTAGCTTCTGGCTAGAGTGTAAGATCGGGATACTATAAAGCACATTTTTGTTCAAAATATTGTACTATTGTGACTAATTGCAGCATTAACACATTAACATTAGGGACATTTTTAGTCATGTCTGATTTCTGCAAATATACAGTACAATGTAATACAAAATGGTGCTTCAAAGGTTTATAATAAAGAAAATGGTTCTATATAGAACCATGACCACTCAAAGAATCCTTTGCACAATTAAAGAGTTCTTCGCATCATGAAGAGGATCTTCACATTGATGGACAGTGTGCATCAACGTGGTATAGATGGTTCTATATGGAACCTTTTTAAGAGGGTTTCTACATAGCACTCAAAAGCGTTCTTTTTCCTTAGTTACAAGGCAATAGAAGAACCATTATGGGTGCAGTATAGAGCCATTTTCAAAAAGGTTCTTTATAGAACCGTCTACAGCACATTCTCCATCAATCTGAAGAACTCTTTCGTGATGCAAAGAACGCTTTAATCATGCAAAGCGTTCTTTGAGTGGTCATGTTTCTTTATAGATGGTTCTTTAAAGCTTTCTGGCTTTAGATCAGGACAGTAAAGCACAGCTTTTATTTAAATTATATTGCACTTTTATTATGTTAAATGCTCTAATAAACTGAAAATGGAAACATTACCATACTAACATAAAGCCTGTTTTCAGCTGCTTCTTATTTTTGCTGTATCAAAAAATTAAATTGAGACATTAGTGTATCATTTTGTATCAAATCATATTGTATTATAACAAAGTATTTAGCATATTAGTTTGTGGCTAGTGTGTTAGGGACTAATATATTATCTTGTGGCTAGCTCTTTACCTTGGGGCTAACATGTTGGCTAATGGCTACTGTGTAACCTTGGAGCCAGCATATTAGCTTGTGGCTAACATACCTGTCAGTCTACAGTTAAGTCTTTACATTATTGCCCCAGACATTCTACTTCAGAACAAATCCCAAAAACACCCATTACCATCATTTTATCATTTTATCATTTTAATAAAAAGAGTAAGCTTTTCCTTTCAGGCCATTATGCAATGCTCAAGCTTTGCGAGCAATTTTAGACAGCCTTTGTTATGCTGTGATACACATTTGTATATAAGAAAAATTGCAAATCCTTTAGAATTATCTGGATTCTTGCATGAATGGCCCTCTCTGGTGGCATGTGATCTTCATAATCTTCAAGTCATAATAATGAAATGAAATAAAATGAAAATAGTCTAATTTAACAAACAATACATACAACAAATCCAGATCATTCCAGAGTATTCATAAATCTTGTCTCACACCTGAATTTGCTGAGGCCTTTGTGCTTTGTGCTGAAATCTTTTTCCGCTCGCCCCAGATGCAGTTGATCAGCAAAGGCACGTTTCCACTGTTTAGTTCAGAACTGAAGCTAACGTTGCTAACACTAAAATTCAGGAGTCACCCAAATAGCCCAAATATTTTCTGTAAAAATACATTCCTAAAACGTCTGTCTACCTGCTCAGACCACATGCATAAACTTTAAAATGGCCTTTCCATTAATGAATTTTTTAATCAACCAATAAATGATTAAATGTAGTGTATTTCCCATGTTAAAATTAACAGGACATTTTAAGAGCTGAAAGCTTGACTGTCTTAATTTTACTTTACATCAAAAGACTCCAACCTTAACTGAAAGAACAAAAACACTAAAATTCGGCATGTTGTCAACAGCAGTGTTTTTAACTGATGGTTCTAAATAAATCTAATAAGTCTAAGCATTTTCATTACAGACCTTATAAGCATTAATACTTTGGTTAAACACCATACAAAACAGTTTATTTGCTATGTAAATCTCCCTAAACCTATTTAACATTATTTTTCTTAAATACAGATGATACCATTTCTATGGAGAACAAGAACAGTCTGGAAAATGGAACAAAGTCAGGGTCTTTGAATGTTTAAAAGCATCAGTGAATTTATCAATTAGCTATAGTGACAGACGTGTTCTAAAAATTAGACTAACAACATTATAGAAAAGCACCTCCTGAAAAAATGGAATTAACTAGCGACAAAACATGCAGGAATCCAAACAAGCTTTCCAACAAGTCAGAGACTACAAAGCAATTTGTCAAACACATGTCAAACCAACCACTATTGTATTAGAAGTTAAGTGACCCTTATTAGTTTCACAACGGGGAAATTTCACCTCCACATTTAACCCATCAGTGAAACACCCACATACAAACTAGTGAAAGCCCAGAGAGATGGGCAGCCCTATCCACAACGCCTGGGGAGCAGTTAGGGGTTGGGTACCTTGCTCAAGGGCACTTCAGTCATGTCCTATCGGCTCAGGGGATCGAGCCGGCGACCTTACGGTCACAAGGCTGGTTCCCTAACCTCCAGCTCATGACTTTCACATTAGATATGTTTATATTCAGATACCTAGCGATGAATCGCTGACATTAGCAGGCTATTTGAGTCGCATTAACTGGCATGCTAAAGTATAGTGGACTGAGCTTACAATTTTTTGTGATAAAACACACAGATCATCAGATTAAATACATTGAGTAGACTACATATCCAAACGAATGCCACCAAGGTTTGAACAAATTAGAAAGCAAAGCACTAATTTTATCACTGATTGTGGAGTTTCATGGCTGCCTTCACGTTCCAAACACACGCCGTACTGACAGCCATGGAGACTTGATGGGCGGACATTGCTGCGGAACCATGACTTTCCATTGGTTAAATGGGCTATAGGCTGAACTATACATGCATTCAACAGACTTTGCTTCATGCACACACTTCAGAACAGAGTAAAACAACTATACACAGTTTCCCTGTAAAAATATTTACCAATGTCCTTGAGATCTGAGCCAGAACACGGCTCCATTTCAAACTTCTGGCCTATTTCCACCCCTTCTCACTTCTCACTGCTACAGGCAGCCATTTCAGACAACAGGGCTAGTATTCACAAAGTGGGACTGATCTTGGATCAGAGTCCCCCATATTTTCTGTACCATAAATACTGATTCTAGATCAGCACTTCTACGCCTGAAGTGGTTTGTGAATACAGACCCTGGTGTCTAAAGTGGCTGCCCACAGTTTGGTTCATTTTTGTAGTTCACATTTTTCACCAATTCATTAATTTTATGGCTGCTTCTAAAGAAAAGAATACATTTTTTATAATATGGTTTTATAAAGGCTGTTTTCAGATGAGACATCGCTCTGACAGTATAATTTTCCCTCATTGTTTGCTGTGAAAAACCATTTATGTCAAAGGTTTTTGATAGGAATTTATATTTAAAACAGTGTTTATTGTATAACCAATTATGTTTTGTCCATTGGCTAAAAGTGATGTTTTCCTAGGCCTTATAGGAGTACTGTATTGTTTGGTGCCCTCTGCAGGTCAGTGAGTGGTAAGAAGCTTTGCTCCAGCTGTGCACATCCGCTGGGTAAAGGAGCTGCTATGATAATTGAGACTTTGGGGCTCTACTTCCACATCCAGTGCTTTAAGGTATGTGTAAGTGTGCGTGTTGAATGAAACTGAGGAAAATTTACTTAGATAAACCTTTCCTAGGCGGCACGGTGGCGCAGTGGGTAGCGCTGTCGCCACACAGCAAGAAGGGCCTGGGTTTGATTCTCGGCCGGGTGACCAGGGTCGTTTCTGTGTGGAGTTTGCATGTTCTCCCCGTGTCTGCGTGGGTTTCCTCCGGGTACTCCGGTTTCCTCCCACAGTCCAAAAACATGCAGTCAAGCCAATTGGATGTGCTAAATTGCCCCTAGGTGTGAGTGCGTGTGTGTGAATGTGTATGTCTGTCTGTCTGCCCTGCGATGGACTGGCGACCTGTCCAGGGTGTATCCTGCCTTCCGCCCAATGACAGCTGGGATAGGCTCCAGCACCCCACCGCGACCCAGAAGGAAAAGCGGTTTAGATGATGGATGGATGGATGGAAACCTTTCCTAAAGGGAGGTCTTGCAGTGAAAAACGGGGGGCTTGACAAAGTCATTTAGAGAGGTTTGATGTAAAACGGTTCATTGTAGAGAAACTTACTGATTTCTTTACAGTGGTGGTAATAGGAACCAGAGAGTCGCAATGTATAGCTTTTTATTTACTACCCAAAAACACCATTGAACCTTCATGTCTTCATTTTTTTATGTGTATAAGTGATGCTAAAAATATTTTTTGCTGTTTTTTATGTTATAGTTTAGTATGTGTGTGCTTGTATGTGTGTGCCCATGCAGGCTTAAAGGGGCACTTGCCTACTTGCCTCTTGCGGCAGTGCCACAGTAGTTTCTAGAGCAAGATTTGGTGGAAGGTGGAAGGAACTTTTGAAAAATTACAAGCGCTTTAGGGGCAGATACGTGAAGATGGGTTGTCTGAATTTTTTTTTTCACACTAGCTGTCTAAAGCAGAGGGAGGCCAGGTAGTCAGCGTTATTGCTGGGAAGTCGAACATCACATCTGTATTTATTAGCCACTACATCAGAAGTGCACAACTCTGGTTCTGGATGGCTGGTGTCCAGCACAGTTTGGAGGTTTCTATACTCAAACACAGTGACTAACAGCAGGACTCCAGGACTGGAGTTGTGCACCCCTGCACTACATAATTGGCTTTCTTTATCTAGCCTAAAGGGTGCAATGCTGCCCTACAGAATATGACATAACATGACAAATAACACATTAAATGCTAGTTTTAGGTGCCCTTTTCAGAGTGTACCATCGATGAAATGCCTCTGTGTGTTGTGTGTTGCAGTGTGGTGTGTGTAAAGGGCTACTCGGTGACACAAGTGCAGGAACTGATGTTCGGATTCGAAACGGAGTGCTCAACTGTCAAGATTGCTATATCAAATCACGTGGTGAGTGAACTGAAAATTGTATTTGTTTATTCCACTTCAGTCCCATTACAAATGAAAATCAGTCCCTCAATCGCTCAAACATAAAGGCTAGTCCTATGGAGTTAGCCTAAGCCTAACATGGCACTAGAGCAACTGCCATGCTGTTTCCTCTTGACTTGGTCAGCTGCATCAGACAAAGCCTGTCTCCTGGGCTTGTGTGCAAAACAAGCCATGGACCAACTGGTACTGAAACGTGAATGACTGTAATATTTTCCAGCAAAGATGCACATAAGACACAAAGGACTTCAGATATTCAACAAAGCAGAACATGGCTTCTTATTCTTATTTACCTTAAATGGTCCAGCAGTTAGATTCAACCTGTACAGGTTCCAGTATTGAACTGATGCTCCATTTAAGGTGGAACAGAAAAAGCAGCATGTTTTTCCTTTTTTTCCATAATTCTTGGCCCTTTTTACGTGGGGCTTTAACATCTGATCGCAATGATTCAATCATCATAATGTCAAGACACAAAAAAAGATATTTATTTGCCAGTGTGCACTGACTAGTAATTCTATTATCTAGCAATTGTAAACCAAATCAAAAAAAGACATAGGTTGTTTTAAAACCTAGCAAGAAGCTGATGCATGATTGTCTCCTGAAAAACTGAAAAAATGTCCTCACATCTGACTAAATTTAGAAACGGACTGCTGGAGCTACATTGCATCTACCACATTTGTGTTTGTAAGTGGAAAAGAAGATTTTGTTTTGGAGAAAAATACACCTTCATATTTTTGCCATGTTTTTGTCCAGAAGTACAGACTCAAACCTGCCAGTACAAGCTATGCAATAATTTCATATAACAATATAGCAAAATGAATGTAATATCCCTCTAAATGTCTAAGCAGTAATTCTGTTGTCCTGTGTGAATCTTTAGAAGTCAAGGGGACTTAACTTTTGGGTCTCGGTGTCGACTCAGCTTCACACTCATTTGGACTCAGTCTTGACTTCATATTAGCCCCCTTTAGACTCCATCTGGACTTGATTTTGAGTCATAGTCTTGGACTCAACAAATGTGGTCTTGAGTACAGCCCTAGCGTTTAATACTTTATAGAACATTTTGTTATTGTCATGCAGAGTCTTCAAGACATTTTAACCATTTAAATGGCTAGGGCTCAACGGCAGGCCCAAAGTTTTATTACACACTGCTTTAACCTAAGAATAGCTCAGCCAGTTTGCATTGATGTCCCTGTGGTTACTAAATAAAGTGCCTTAGTATGTAATAAGAGAGATTTTAAGGGGTTAAGATTTTAAGAAAGAAAAGACATCAGATTATGTATGTGTTGCTTGAAGCACAGTCTGTGAAAATATATGGGTTAAAAATCACAGTTTACACAGTTTCACACATTAACATTATGCAAAATAGTAACAAAAAATACCACAGTATTTTAAAATGACGGTATTAAAAAAACCTGGTATTTTAAAAATATTATGTGTCTAATTTCTGTTCCGTATCTGAACAGCCAGATAAACACATTCCACCTACTTATATTTAGAGGGGCTCAATCTTTGTGGGAGCCGACTGATCAGTGGCGCTGATAGAAAAAGGAGAAAATTCAGAGCCGGGAAAAAGCTGGCATGAGAGCGACTCAGCATTAACTACAACTTTACTCACCACAGACCACATTAGATTTCAGCTTTCACTCTAGTTTCTCAGTTTTAGAAGCTCTTAGATATCCTCTTAATGGGCATCTGTTTAGCATCAGTTAGCTGGAACCAAGCCTGTGCTGTTGACAAGTTTGGCCTGATAATTAAGCTATCGTAGAACATGTTTTGGGTTTCTTGCACTCCAACACCAGTGACTCAACTCAACACCAGTGTGGTAGAATCAAACTTGAAACGTAATATGTGCCATTGTTTGGGTCTGTAGCGCGCTCGCTGAGCTAAAGCTCAGTTAGCCGTTCTGGCTACAGATCCAAACACTACAGAACAGGTTATTTCGCCTTTCAAATCCAGTTGCTCGACTTCCTTCAAATTTAGGTCATTATCATCTAAACTTGTGTCAGTGCTTTAGTTAGGCAGAATCTAACATGTTCTGTATTTAGCAGAGCTGCTGTTATGCTAGCTAAGCTAATGCTAATGTCTTACAGTTTCTCTCTCCTAGCTAGCAGCATTGTTTAACATTTAGCAATTGTTAGATAGATGGTTTGAATTTGGTTGAATGATGGCTTGAAAATCATACACTGCCCACACTTCTTTTGTGATTATCTAAGCAAACTAAACATTCTAAATATTTTCGATTTTTAAAAAAAGTACATGAACGGCATGAAATAATACTGGCCAACACTGATTTACTCACAGATCTGACCATGCTATATTAGCGAGGTCTAAACAAAGGCAGTTACACTTGTCTTTTAATGCATATATGGACAACATTCACATTTTAATGCCAAGTGTAAACAGGACCATAGTTATCCTTATTATTGTAGCTCACCTGCCTACCTGCAGAGTTCAGTTCTAACCCACATTTAATACAGTGAAAAGATTTATTAGTTGTGTACACTGCCTTCACTGCCTCACAAAGCTTGTCTTTTCCCACAGCTGCTGGCCAGCCAACCACCTTGTGACACCTTTGCCAAGTCTACCGAAGCCTGGACCATTCCCGCGGAGAAGACATAAGTTGATGTTTCACTTCTGGAGCGATTTCCATAAAGCACAATGTACAAATCGCCCTGTGACACAAATTGATTAAATTCGAACTCTATGGAGCATTCGATTATTCTTCTGGGCTTTAATATTAATCTGGAAAAACGTCATTCTGACGATTAGACACATGAGCGTACATCGTGGTAACAAGTATTAAACCTCACATTAGCTTGTTGTACAATGTGGAGCTTTCCACTGGACAGCCTAGATAACTTAAATTAGCAATAATGATACCGACCCGCGTTTTGAACGAGAAAGTTTCCCCTAAAATAATAACTAACCTCAACATTGATCAAGTTGCACAAAAGATAGGGGTATCATATAGTTATGTCAGCAGTTTTGCACTTTTGGATCCTCTATCCATGATTTTCAGCAGTTATTGAAGGACAATTTTAACATTTTGTCCAAAAAAAATCCCATATTTTCCAGTTTCACACAATTTGTTTTTAGTTTTAATGGTGTTTTTTGGTGAAATGTGCGCTTTTAAAGTAAGACATAGCACAAAAATGACCTCTTTTAGGCTTCCAGAGGGCTGGGCATAAAAGGGATCCAATTTTGGGTTTAAAATAATCTTGTATCGGATTATCAGTATTTTGCAAGAAGCAAAAAAACGTAATCGTCCTCAACTGTTCTGAAACAGAAATGTTTATTTGAATTCTCTAATGTGAAGTGACAATGTTTGTTTTTCATTAAGTGCAGCCCACTAGCTTATTTAAGTTTTAGCTGCAAACTTTGTTCTTCAAACATAATAATGTGTGTGTACAAACAAAAACCAGAACTGTCCAGGCTGTGGCCTTTTCTGTGGTTCTTTATGGATGTGATAACTGAACAATAAAAAACAGGACAGGAAAAATACTGATGCCTTTGAACTTTGGTGTCAGCGAAGACTTTTGAGAGTACCTCGGACATCAAACAAGAAAACAAATGGATCCTCGACCAAATCAAGCCTCACCGCTCACCCACTCAGAACATAAAACATAAAATAACAGATTTTTCATTCCATGTTTGAGCCATTGCTGAAATGTACTTGGTATTGTTTTTATTTAAAAGCATCGTTTACCTAGGAGCTTGATAGCTAGCATTCTGGCTGTAACAGCTTCTGAGATGGGGTAAAGTTGAGTGTCATGATATGTAGAATGAAAGCAGTGATGTTACTACTTTGCTATCTTGTTCTATGCCCTGTGAAAGCCTATGGGAGGTCAGTTTAGGAACCACATTTCACAAAAACGGCATGCTTCAAACTGTAAACTGAAAAACTTTTTGCTACTTTGGGGGGAACACCCTTTTAATGTTCCTTTTAATTCAAATTACTGTAAAACAAAAATCAAAGATAAGCGTAATAAGCAATGGTTATCCCTTCACCCATTAGCTTTGAACCGTAGGAAGTCATTGAGCCTGTTATTATTGTTAATATTCCTGGCCTGCCTACAGACGTCCTGCGATATTTGGTTCGATTTCTGCTGGAAGATGAATGGGATATAGCCTTCAGTGAGGCAAACTTTATTTTATCTTACAGCCTTAATAGTAGGCGCTATATGCTGCATGACTCTGCGAAGGGCCGGTTCTAAAGGGAGCGACTGGACATCTTTCATTATGGTTTAAAAAAAAAAGAGAAAGAAAAAAAAAAACATTGGTTCTTTAACTTGTGTGGTTTTAAGTTAATTGCTGTGTTAACCCATTTTGAGTATTCTTCCTTCTCATTTTGTATTTTTTTGTTCTCATTTGTCTTCTCATTTTCGATCACATATTAGCCTAGCTTGCGGTTTAAAATGCATGATGTTTTGAGGTCTCACTTAAGTAGTGGATGAATACATTTCCATTTGGTTGTTCTTTACATTGTAATTTTCATTTTCGTGGCCATTTGGTGAAGAAGAAAAAAACTTAGGCTGTTAGTTTTGGAGAAGTTTTCCTTTTCTGTTGTTCCAGACAGCTGTCAATCATATACATTGCTATGTTGTGCCTTAAGAATGATTGCACATTTGGAGGAAGGTTGTGTGGTTGTGTTCTGTATGCAACGTCCAGAGCTATTTCGTTTTGTTTTTTTCTTTGCAAATGGTAAAAGAAATATGCACAAATTTCTCTATTTCTATCATTGTCTTTCTATTCACAAACCTTTCAAGCTGCATAACAAAACTTGTAATCGTTTGGCTGTTGTGAATGATGTTTTATGCCACAGCAGGGCTCAGCATGCTCTCGAAATATGTTTTAATATCCGAAATCAGTTTTAAAAAACCTGAAGGAAATGGATAGATTGAGGTTTCCACATGCAGCCGTTTATGTTGTCTGTCTTATTTGCGTAGGCTAATCTCTAATTAAGATATAAGAATAATGAAGAGGAGCAGGATAATGTAGCCGAAGGTTTTGTTACTCAGAGGAATAATGGCCCATGTATTAAAGCTCGTTATTTATTTTATCACCTTAAGGACGATGAATAGGACAACCTGGCAACCCTTGTAATGCAGTGGGTTTTATAGCAAGTGTATGTTTATAAATAAACTATTTTAAATGCGCTTTTGCTGTGGGGCGTGTTTATTTTATATGTCAACAGATAAAAGGATCTGTGTGATGATTTAGCTATGCAGTAAAAAATGTAACTGTTGCTACATCTGTTGTAAACATGCCTCTTTGCCTCTACAGGATGCCACAGTAGTCTCTGGAGCTGTGGTCACCAACCCTGGTCCTAGAGATCAACCTTCCTGTGGGAATGTAGTTCTGCCACACCTGCTCCAGCTAATTAACTTCTTCAGAAGTTCTTGATTGGTTGGATCAGATACAGTAGTGTTAGGTGAGGAGGGGGAGCATGTTAGGAACTAAACTATGCAGGAAAGTAGATCTCCAGGAAGAAGGTTGGTGATCACAGCTCTACTGTGAGATTATCCAGTTTAAAGACTATGAAAACACCCTACATATGATGTACCTTGAAGGTGGGCGGGGCTTTAAAAACCTACAACTTATTCAGGGTGGAATTTTATGTCGTGCACTTTTTCATTAACGTTAGCTGTTGAACGCAAAAGTTAGCAAGTATCTAGATACTTCCTCTGTTTTGGCTCATTTTCTTTGACTTAGAAGGTAAAAACCTGGTCTCGAGTGTCCATTTTGTGCTAAATAAACATAGAATCGCTGTTTTCTTTGCAATTTAGTTTGACGTTTGAGGTAAGAGTTACATAAATGCAGGCATTTAGCATATAGCATATATTAGCATATAGCTCAGTGTCTAGGCAGTCAATATTGGATGACACCACTAGTAGAAGTAAAATAATACCAGGTCTTTTAGTGGAAACAGAAGCTGCACTGTTGTCCCCATCTTCTTACTTTCATTTTATTTTAGAAAAATATCATAAAAATGGAAGAATCAAACGTAAAGTCCAGCGTCCACGCTGAGAGATGCTGAATGTAACGTTAATGTTTCACTGCAGCGCTACAGACTCGTCATCGCTGCGCGCCATTGTTTTGCTATTGCTGGGCCTACGTCATCGCACCGCGCAAGAAACCAACCGTTTGAAAGAACAACGTGACTGAATTATTTCAGAAGCTGTGATAAATGTTGTGATCAGGCGGTAAAGATGAGGGAAACGCCATTGTCAAACTGCGAGCGACTCTTTCTCCTTAAAGCTGTCGAGGAAAAAAAGGTGAGTGACTAACTTTCCCACCGAGACCCGAGATAAACATGTTTAGCTAACGGTAGCGTTAATGAATGAACAGCGTATAAGGCTCATAAGTTACTGTCGACACTTCTAAAACAAACTGTTCGCTCAGTAATAAGACCTTTAGCACCCGTGAACCTAAATGCAAAGTGCTGTTGACACTATTACTGAATAACACACTTAACACTAACGTCTTGAGTTTAAAAAAGTATTCATTGATTTACTGGATTTCGCCCTTTTCACTAAAATAGTGTCGTATCTTGCAGGAAACTTGTCAACTATGGTCTCATCAAAGAGCTGTTTGGGATTCTGTTAGCCCTCACAAAAATGATCTGTAATAATACTGTAGACACTATAGTTTCTGTGGCGCTGTGTAATACTTATGTAACTAGATAAGTCATTCAGTGAAAACTGTCATTTGGGTCCACAATATGAGGCCTTGTGTGTCTTTAGATGTAATGTACAGCCATATGGTCAAATTACATGTTTGTGTTTTTGTACACATCCTCTACAAAGAACACACTTGCACACACCGCACATTTTAATGTGCAGTTATTGGTTTTTTTTGCTGGTTTTAACATTGAACATGGAACATTACAGAAATGGCCTGTGGAAAAGATGTGCCACATTTTACATTTTTATTTTTCCAATATGTTTAACTCTGCACATAAATAGAAATTGTATTCTAAAATTTGCAGAAACTTAATATTTAAGTATGACCTCTGTAGAAGATGTGTTACCTTATTTTCACCTAGAAAATCGAAAAAATGTGACCAGCGGTCTTCATATATAGTCGTATCCAAAAGTCTAGTTTGTGGGAAAAGGGCAAGAAGGTACAAGTCACCAGAAAATAACTTCCATTTGTCTGTTGTTCTTAGCGCTTGGATGGAAGACAGGCATACGACTACCGCAATATAAAAATTACGTTTGGCACAGATTATGGTTGCTGTACAGTCTGTCTGGGGAAAACAAGGTAAGTTGTTGTAGTTCCACCACAAGCAGTTGTTTATTCTCACCATACAGTCCAGAACCACCCCAGAGATTTAGCCTTCTAAGGTCTCCAACCCTAACCTAACTCCTTATTCTAATGCCCCTATTGAAGAGTTTTGCACCTCTAGTGTTGTTACATTGTGTGGCATGTGCTGAGTGCTGATGTGCTTGTTGATTTCTCTGTGTATGTGACTGTATCTGTTTGTCTCTGAAGGGTGTTGGCACAGGTGTCTTGTGAGCTGGTCCCACCCAAAGATTCACGGCCCACAGAGGGCATCATGTTCTTTAATCTGGAGCTTTCTCCCATGGCATCACCTGGCTTCCAGCCCAGCAGGTTAGTTCTCCTGACATGGTGAAAAATTAGTGCTCGAAAACAGTCAGTGATATTCAGGTTCGTTTTGTTGTTGCAGGGATGTCTTACACATGCATGTTTGGGTGTCTGTTAATGTGCTAAAAGAAAAATTCTGCATTGAAAAAAATCTGCATAATTAAATTAGATGTCAGACGTCTGAAGCTTTGAAGATGAACTCTATTGACTTTTAAAAGTTTCCGAGTCAGAATTGTTCACAGTGTTAGTGATAGGAACCAGATGACTGAAGAGTTAAATGCCTCTGACAGCTCCCTCACAGAAAGATATTACATTACATAGTTATGAATACCCTGCCTGATGTCTGACATTGTTTTGAGATAGTTTTGAGAAGGTTTTGGCCTGTTTTTTAATGCATTGATGGTGGGCTTTGTAAGGTAAAATAGTCCCAAAAGTGATTTAACAAGTTTACCATTATCAACATTACTATAAAAAGTCAGAAGACCTCTCTAAGTTTACTGGTGATTTTGGATAGTAAATAAAATGGCTATATTCATATTGTAGACATTGTGGCCTTTGGTTCCTAACACCACCACTGTAAAGACACCTGAGTCAGTAAGTTTCTTTATAATGAATTATTCACACAAAGCCGTTCACACCAAACCTCTGTGAACGGCTTTGTTTACTCAACTACCAAATTATTCAGAAACTTTGAAGATGCATTTAAAAGCTACCTCACAGAAAGTTATGATATGAAATTGGTATTGATGCACTGCCTCCTGCTTTAGATGTTATTTTATGATAGTTTTGTGATTAGATTTAGCCCTATTAAGTTTTTTTTTTTAAAGCCATAGTGGTGGATAGAGATACAGGCAGTGTGTTGCAAGGCTAAATAGTCTCCAAAGAAAACTTATTTTTCAGAATTTACCACTATTTTGCTATTTTACCCTCTACATTACATGTAAAACTGAGAAGACACAAGTAGGTTCACTGGTCATTTTGAATTGTGAATAGGAGAAAGAGTTGGTAAGTTTCTCCACAATGAATCAATTCACATCAAACCACTCACAACAATTGAATCATGTAGAAATGTAAAAAATAAAATCCCCTATAAAGTTGAGTTTGGCTTTCTTCTAATGTCTTTCTTCTGTATGTCCTAGGCAGTCCGAGTTGTTGGTGACGCTGAACCGACAACTGGAAAGATGTCTGAGGAACTCCAAATGCATAGACACAGAGTCTCTATGTGTTGTCTCAGGAGAAAAGGTAACACGCTCAATTAATATGCTATGACTTTTAAAAAGTTTGTCCATTTGTATTTGACATTTCCATTTGACATCATGAACGATATTCTACTTAGTGTTCTGTTTTCTGTATCTTTGGACAAACCAATGCACTGAATAGTGTGCTTTACTAGGAATGAGTTGAATGCTGGAATTGTTTAATCAAATGGTAAATTGATAAGGTAGATTTTTAATATGCAAATTAGCTTCTCTTTAACGTTACGTATTCTCCTATTGAAGAACCATAAAATATCTGAGCTCTGTACTCCATCAGAAAGACTTGCACCTGATGGTTTGGTTAGAGGTTCTTATATGTTGGAACCATAGACAGTATGGTTGTTGTACCAGTATTTATGCTGTACCAGTTCAGTCAGATAGCAAAAGGATATGAATTTCAGTGACAGTAGTATTTTGTATGAGTATATATTGGTTTATATTTGTTATTTTTTGGATGGACCAACAGCTGATATTGCTTTGTAGGGTGTGGATTTTTATTCAGGTAATTGACCAATCGAACAGTTGTGCTTCCTGCTGTTTCCTCTTACTTTGCCCCAATCACAGCGTACTCTGTACACTGTATTCATTTTTTTAAGGTGCAATATACACTGTGTATAAAATTAACATCATAGAGTGATATTTTGGAGGCCCTAAGCATTTTTTAGGGGGATCCTCATCTTGGTAGCTAATATTCTGTAAAATTAACTAGTAACAATGACTACCACAAGCTGTCTAAATTACATAAGTTCAAAACAGGCTAATTTATGCATTGATGATGTTTGGATGCTCATTTGAGGTTTGAATAAGTTACAGTTTAAACAACATGTCAGTCGCACAATGCAGTGTTTTTTGCTTACCCAGCTGACTTAGTAAGAGCTAATCCTGGCAATGGAGACAGCGTTGCTTTTTTAGTGTTATAAATGCTTTACTTTCTGTATATTTAGGTTGTATGCATATTTTTTTAAATTTTTTTGACAATTTCATCCGTCTTTCTTGTGATTGTCTGTTCGTCTTAAACGTCATGCTTTCATGTGTGCGCATGAGAATCAATTACAACCTGAGTGTCTAAACCTGGATTAACAGAAAAAAATAGTTAACCATTGTAAAACAAGGTAACTGTGGCTGTAATTTTGTTAAGATGAAACTTGAAAGCTCAGAAAGCCTGTCTGAACAGGCTTCGTTAGACAGACTCAGATCGACTCCTTGTTGTCCAACTACAGGCCAAGCTATTATGCCAAAAAATGGCATAATGTTACCACCATGAAACTTAGTACAAAAAGCTTAAAGATAAAG